TCTTGTATCCAACTTTTCAACATATCTTTGCAATTATATGACATTTATTTATTGGTTCGGCTAGGTACAAGAACAGCGAGGGCAGCCCAACGAGCTTGAAGCTATTATTAAGGGCTTGCCCTGGGAAAAAAGTGTGGTTAAATACATACATGTGACATGAATTCTTTAAAACGTCTTAGTTACATAGGGTCAACAAATTATGTTTATTATCATATGACATTTCTGATGATGGTTGGTGATAAAAAAGCCCACACGAGGCACCCACAGTTTGTGACACCACCACGGAGTACCAGAAAGTAAACAAAATGGCTGACAGCAATGTTTCATATTTTAAAAACACTCATGAAGCAAAATATTTGCTAAGAAATGGCCAGAAAAATGTCCTTTTTGTACCGTCTTGTTTTGTATTGTTACACAATGTTACACAATGCAGCTTTAAAGTAAAGTAAATAATGTTTCTATTGATCTAGTACCATCACCGGAGCATTGAATATATTAAGTAACTACATCTTAATGAACTTGGCGAAGTTAATTAATACTTGATGCTGTGGCTGAGGATGTGATCTGTTTAACACCTATTTGTCACATCTGCACTTTAATCTGTAACTACTGTTAAAGTGGGTAAATAATCCCATCATTTACCACAACAGAAAACATGAGTTTGAGTTCAAAATACGATTGTTAACATCCGAACATTTGAGAAAAACCCTTTGGTCAGAGAATGACCCGTTGTTAGCATTTAGGAACATTGAATGCACATTGTCAGGCACAGCATTTCAATCTTACTTGTTGGTTTGTTTGTTTGTTTGTTTATTGGTGGAGGAATAATTGTATTTTAAGTCATTAATACCAACCACAACACCATATTAAAATACAGGTTGACAGAAATCACCAATGGAATTACTAACACCCCGCGTATATGCAAATTGATGTTGCTTCAAAGATTGCACTAATAGTGACGATGTTACTGGTGTCAACCAATGTACACTGTATTTCCATCGTACATGTATATTGAATGTTCTGTATTGTCATCTATCTCAGAATAAAGTACACATGTGGTTATAAAAGTGTTACCTGGATTATGAATGAAATGCCGACATGTAGTAGTAGAATGGTTTATTTCACTTAGAAACTCAAACATACACAATACACTCTGACAACAGACTCGCAGGCAACCATGCTGGATGTCTGACTTGCTCTGTGGTCCACACAAAATATTATTAAAATATGCCATCAAAAGGTATTATTGTTAAAATCATTGTTGCACATTATTACACATTGCTAAAATTTATATCAATTATACATATTCCTCTGCTGTAGACACTACGCAGTCAATATGCATATTTAAAAATGTCACAGTATGCAGTAATAACAGTTTGGGTAAAAAGCAAAAAAGGTGATGTACATGTAACAACATTAAAATCACGTAGGCTTATTATATAATGATTAGTGTTTGAACTTCCTGTGCTAATCACAGCTTGAAGCATAATATATAGATTTACACGAAGGCGTGTACATGTACACAAACCTCACTGATATAATGTCAACCAGTTATTAGTTCGATCTAAATTTAAAGAGGTTTTACAGTTTTGCGGGTTTTGTAAACTTTCCTATTCATCCTCAGCTGCAGAGGGGCCTCAGCATTGATATACTTTTCAGCACCAAGGACAAAAATCATCGATACAGGTCAATTTTTACGTAAGCGGTGCTAGCTATTCCTTGTTTGGTTACAAAACAAAGTCAGTAGACATCAGTGGTTGGAATCTGTATTAATTACTGTATTGTATTGAAACTCTACCGCTATTTTGGGGCACCGAAAAAGTTCTTTGCATCCTGAACAAGAAAACAAATGTTTAACATAATAATTGAATTTTTTTTCTGTTGTCATCCGGGAAAAGGATTTAAGATTCAGGAATCAGAACTTTCAGAAACTAAAATCTTTTTCCGGATGACAAAATTTGCAAATGGAGCTGGACTGTAAATTGTGACTGCGGGACGCAACAGAAAAACATTAAGCAAAGAGGCTCTTTTTACACAACCAATATTTTATTCAGCCGACGTTTCGTTATATGTACATTTTCCTGTAATACAATCACGCAAATGTGTAGATATATAAATATTGTACATTTGGGAATGCATCTGTAGCAATGACATCTGTGCTGCAGTGCAATATAAAACAGAATTGCCCTGAGGAAGGTGACAGACGGTCACCGAAACGCCTGGTGAATAAAACACTTGGTTGTGTAAAAAGAGTCTCTTTACTCAGTGTCTTACCAACCTGATGACATTATTCACGGAACAGAAAAACATGTTCTCGAAGTGGTTTCGAAACAACAATGCACAACAAATTTACAAAAAAAAAATGTATGTAATACTGGAGGCAGCGATATAAGGCTAAAACTTACAACATGCATATTCAAAACGATCCCAGAACTTCTTAGAATTCTTAGACGTTTTGAACATTCAAATTTGTCTGGCTAGTGTTTCTAAACATCATAGGTTTGGTGCGACCGTGAAATTGTTTTTTTCCTTTGAGGTAGTTCTGGCAAGACCTTATATGGGATTGCGACTCTCCCTGTAATACTTTCATGGCTTCCGATTAGTCTGAATTTTCGGACGTAGCCATTTTGTCATATTCTGTTGAAATTGAGACTGGACGCGATACGAGTGCTGTCAACGTTGGAACAAGCCGAGAAATTTCGAATTGTTTTCATCAATATTGCTTCAAGTAGAGGAGGTATGTGGCTGTATATTGATTTTCGACCTTACGCTTGTTCTTCCCATTGAAGGTAAGTCAACCTATTGTGAGTGTATCTTTGGGCTGGTACCTAGCACCATTTCTTTGTTTAGTCTCAGATTTGGGCGCAATTTCTTTCTGACAATAAAAAGGAAATACCTCATTTACCATATAATACGTGTGCTCATGTTGTGGTCCCAACTGTTGCCGATGTTTGTTAGTCGTAATGATGTTTACAACCATCGTTGCATTATGCTAGCCTCCTTCGCAGACCTGTAGGGCACGACGTTATTATTTTTTTCGGTGAGCGGCGCGAGTTATGCCGCAGAGGGACGATTTTGCCGTACAGTCGTGCCCTACAGGTCTGCGAAGGAGGCTAGCATTAAACAAAAGACATCCTTCGTTTAAAAGGTTGGTAATATGGTTATAGCCCTATCGCAAAAGGGGCCCCGCCGGGTAGTTTACGGGATAACTTTCTTGGACTATCAGACGTGAGCCCGATAGACCCCAGCGATTGCTTGAATCTTCAGTGGCACGGTCAGTACAAAATGACAAAAATACGCCATAACTTTATCATGTATCATGTATGTAGTTTAACTAATGCTTGATAATTTGATAGTACTTAGGCCAAACAAAATCTAATCTGCATATTTAATGTTAGAATATTATAGATCCGCTGCGTCTGATAATTCAAACACGTGGAAAAGAAAACCAAGAAAGAGACAGATATGAATGAATTTACATTATACATTTAGATCTTATTTTCATAATTAAGAGAAATATATATCTCACATTTGAGGCACTTTGAAGTTACGTTAATATGAGCATAGTTGAATATGAAATATGTAAATGAAGATCTAATTTGCATAATCTACAGTCGTCGGTGTGTTTTTAAAGAGCAACAAGAGGTTCGATAAAACAATATTATATCATGTATGGGACATGTAAGTCTGAAAAGTGATTTCTGCCCTAATTTCCTCAGTCCGTATTATCCGGCTAGCTCCTAGCCTCGACGAATTGGCCACCGCCAATTTTCCACTCCCCGCCTTCGCAATGCGAAGTTCTAAAGCGTTCGCGCGTTCGACGCTATTCGATCTTTGTGCTTTTCGTCAGTTTTCTTGTGTTTCCCGCATACAGAATATAAAAAAAATTAGCCTCGTCCTCTTGTAGGTTATACGATCCGTCAAAACCCTGACGTAGGATGGTGCGCACTGTCACATCCGTGCTTTAAAAAAAGTATTTCTGTGATCCATTGTGCTAAAAAATACATGGCAGAATAGTAAAAAGGCCGCCATTTGCTTTTGAGCAAATGCAACAGATGGCTTTACCACATCCACCGTATCAAAAATGGGCCTGTTACATTGATATGACTATAGTATGAAGTGAGAAATAACTAAGAATACAACAGTTGGAGAGCTATCCTCTACATCATTGTTTAGAATTTTTATTTCCATGATACAAACTGTTGATTTTCAAGATAAAAATCGTTTACGTCCCACATTTCAATGTTGGGGCAGGAGAGTTTGACTTGCAATTTTACACCTTACACCCTGCGATAATATCGCAAACTATAGATAGACATGATGTAAGGAATACAAAGCATCCATTGATGACCCCCAAGGGATTAATCTTAATACGCAAATTTATGGATAATTATGTGGAAGCGTTATACATAAGGTTTCAGTGGTCTACCTGTACCAATTACTATTATATATATATATTAATAATTGAAGCTTTCGAGTTCGGACTATGCATAACTCTTGACCATTATGACTGATTATGTATGACCTTCCGAAGTCTTGTGCATAACATACATGATAGGAATAATCCACAGGGGGTTATCATTGGATTCTACATATTTCTTATATCATTTTACCTATAGTTATGGCTTTACACCTCGTGGTGCGGTGAAACATATTGATTTCTCTTATGTTTCTTCTTCTCCTCCTTCTCCTCCTGCTAATGTATTTAACTCTACTATGTTTCAGCCAAATGACCTGAAATTTGGCGTGGAGGTAGAGTGGACAAATATCCCCAGGAGGTTTTTTTTTAAAACAGGCCTTAAATGTTTTCCGGAAAATATACATTTTGAGATCTGGAGCTCTGGTACTATAACCAAATGACCGCAAATTAAACTGAAGGGTGTTGTCTGTAGAGAGTGGACCTGGTCAGGTTTGTAGAGATCCAACATAGAATGTCGGTTTAGGCCAGGCTTACAGGCGAGCTTCCTGTTCTGTTTAGGTGAGAGGACACCGTGGGGAAAATGTTACGGCACCTGCTGATTTTCCTTCTCGTCATGAAGGAATCCAACATGCCAGGTGCTGATGTCTGCAGCTGTCCATTAACGTCAGTCTGCAGGTGCAACCAGGGCCTCACCAGCATTCCTGAGAACCTCCCCAGACCCACCTATAGCTTGGACTTGTCCTACAACCAGATAACAATAATTCAGACAGGGGCATTTGGAAAACAGCATGACTGGTCATGGCTAATCGAGTTGCGCTTGAACTCCAACAAGATAACAACGATACAGTCGGGTGCATTTGAAAATTTACCAAAGTTTCAAAAGTTGTATCTGAACTCCAACCAGATAACAATGATTCAGCCTGGTGCATTTGCAAATCTACCAGCGCTACAAGAGTTGTGGCTGTACTACAATAATATGACAAAGATTCAGGCAAATTTACCCTCGTTCGTCGGGGAAAACTTGCTATATATGTTGCAACTGTCCTACAACCAGATAACAAAGATTCACGCTGCTGGTACATTTGCAAATTTACCACGGCTCCAAGTGCTAAATATGTCCAACAACAAGATAACATCGATCCGCGGGGGTACATTTGCAAATCTACCCTGGCTCAGTACGTTGGATTTGTCGTTCAACCAGATAACAATAATTCAGTCAGGGGCATTAGCAAATGAACGTCTCCTTTCATTGCATCTTCAAGCAAACAAGTTATCTGCCATTCCCCCTTTTGGCTTGTTGCCATGTCTTATTACCATAAAACTTGACCCAAACCCCTGGCGTTGTGACTGTAGAATGGCTCCATTCAGGCTGAAGAAGGGTAATCTTCCGTCATGGTTTTCTGAAGGAGACAATGTTATATGTGCCCAACCGCCCAAATTCAAGGGACAGAAGCTTTTAGATGTCAATGCTGAAGAAATGGTATGTAAAGAGCTAACCATATCAGCAATGACTGTTGATATCCAAACCTCATCTACAGTGTCAACATCTTTAGTTCAAAAGACAAAAAGCAATTCTATCCCTACGGAAAATCCTGTATGCTCGAAATGTGCCATTCAGTTCAGTGTTAACTCAAAACAAAGTACCAATAACAGTTACAATGACACCGTCAGCTCTTGCTATCACTGGTCCTTTACACTCAATACTGGCATAACAGCACATCCTGTAGACAACGCAAGCAGAACGATAGCAACACCAAGTTCACCCCTTACAATCACTTCAGGCAAACTAGAACCTGCTTCCAGTTTACCCCTACCTATCCTCATTGGATCTCTCTGTGGTTCTGTACCTGGTATTGTTCTAGTTGGCACCATCATTCTCACAATTTGTTACAAGAGAAGGACTAAGCACCCTCCTTTAGTACCGAATCCCCATGTTGCTGGTAGCAACACAAACACAGCAGGTTCTGTACTGACTTCTGGTGATGATCAACAGTATGAAGATATGGACAACTATAGTCAGACAGGGGAGAGTCAGTCTCAGGCCATTAATGAATCCAACACAAACACAGCAGTTTCTGAAATAACCAGTGGTGATGATCACCAATATGAAGATATTGACAACCATCATGATCAGACAGGGCAGGGTCAGTCTCAGGCTTTCACTGAATCCAACATACACACTATGACCAGTGGTGATGATCACCAGTATGAAGATATTGACAACCATCATATTAAGCTGAGAGGGCACTGCCAGACTCGTACTGTCACTGAATCCAACAGAAAACCCAAAGCTACTGTAATAGCGAGTGGTCATGATCAGACAGGGCAGACTCCGCCTCATGCTATTATTCAATCTGTGGAATTCGGAAATCTATCTCTGAACGAAGTGATAGCTGCTTTAATTACAAATACTATGTATGCAGGGGTGGAAACACCACCAAATGACCAAACATCTACAGAAATGTCCAGTGGTCATGGTAAGACAGGGCAGGCCCAGTCTCAGGATAATATTCAATCTATTAGATTTGGAAATCTATCTCTGAACAAAGTGCTAGCTGCTTTAAGGCCAAATTCTATGTATGCAGGGGTAGAAACCCCACCAAATGACCAAACATCTACAGAAATGGCCTGTGGTCATGATCAGACAGGGCAGGCCCAGTCTCAGGATAATATTCAATCTATTAGATTTGGAAATCTGTCTCTGGACGATGTGCTAGCTGCTTTAAGGCCAAATCCTATGTATGCAGGGGTAGAAACCCCACCAAATGACCAAACATCTACAGAAATGGCCTGTGGTCATGATCAGAAAGGACAGGACCAATCTCAGACCAACATTCAATCTGTTAAATTGGAAAATCTATCTCTGGACGAAGTGCTAGCTGCTTTCCGGCCACATTCTATGCATGCAGGGGTGGAAACACCACCAAATCACCCAGCATCTACAGAAATGGCCAGTGGTCATGGTGAGACAGGGCAGGCCCAGGCTCAGATTCAATCTATTAGATTTGGAAATCTGTCTCTGAACGAAGTGATAGCTGCTTTAAGGCCAAATTATATGCATGCAGGGGTAGAAACACCACCAAATCACCCAGCATCTACAAAATGGCCAGTGGTCATGATCAGACAGGACAGGGTCAGTCTCATACTACCACTGAATCGTTGGATGCTAGAAATTTTGCGTACGGTTCAGGGCCGACTGTCTCACAAGTAAATTCTCTGTACGCAAAGGGGGAGTCACAATGATTTAAAAAGGGATGACACTTTTGGACAATTGATGAGTAACAAGGAAAATACTGATTGGTCTTTGAGATCATTTATGAACCTTTCTTTGAGAGATCATTGAAAGAAGTTTTTGATCTTTTGAACATCATCGAACTATCATTGGGAGGTTATTAGAAAACCGTTGATATCATTGAGTGCTCACTGAAAGACCCGGTTGAAAAATTTGTTGGATATTTGGACTGTCAAACAGTTTTGCTCTTTTTGATTGATGAAATGCAAATATGGTCATTTGCACTATTTGGAATATCTTCTTCATCCAAATAATATAGTTGTCAAATGCAATGGCAGTCTTTTCTTATCACAAATAAGGCTCTTCAATAACTTTCTTGTCCCAATTTGTATAACTTATGCCTTATTTTTTACATTCATCTAACATGCAAATGAAAGAAATCATCAGCATTTACCACTATTAGATTAACACACCTGTGTACAATTTTTAGGGGACCACCAATCGTAAAATTCACTTGTTAAGCACACCATAATTATAAACCGGCAAGAACTGTGACACTGAAAAGCATGGTAGAATGGGACAGAGAATTCATTAGCAGAAATTTCCAAGTTCTTTGTATGATGTACAGTTGTACATATTGTCTTTTATTAAACTCGAGTTATCATCATGTAGTGCTCAATTTTACTTTAATTTAGCAATAGAAATGTAAGTGTGGAGTAATTGGGACTGCTATTATTATAATAATAGCTGTTGTGAATTTTCCACTATTTAATTAAGTGCTAATGCTCGAAATATACAACATTTGTTGGCAAAATGTACAAAGTTTTACCTTCTTCTGACTTCAGACAATATAACTGCTACACATGTACACTTAAATACAGGGAGTACTGTGAGATTGAGAAAAAATGGTAGAATGAGACTTCATCAACAGAAATTTCCTACTAGTACAAAAGTCAGCCTTTTTTGTTCAACTTGGAGTATTGAGTATATTCCTTTGGTTTTAAGCCATGTTGATTTCATTATATGGATGACATCCGCACGCGCTTGAATTTGTGTCTGTTTCCCCCCAAAAAATCGACCATACTATACATCGTTACAAATGAGCGAATATATGTCATATGTTGCAAAACAAGTATTGAAAAACGATACTAATGTCATAGAATGCCAAAATCATAAAATCAATTCAGTAAAAGAAGATAATGTGAAGAAATGAAAATGAAGAGCCTATTATTTTTCGCCAAACCACATTCTTTGTGTTTAGTCATTTGTTCAACCTGTATATGACTTGTGTACATAGATTTCATAATGAAGGCAACTTTTTTTTGCTAAACTTTTTTTTACTTACACGCTTACGTCAGTTTTGGGGTTCCCAGATGATGTAATCAAATCAACATGGTTATTACTAGTACTTATTTAAGTAAAACATAGCAAGATATATACATGTATGTGCTAAGCAATTGGTAATTGCTCTGCAGCAGACCTATATAATATTATAATAATAATAATCAATTCATAAGCAATCGGGAAGCCTATAACTGTTGTGAAAATTCCATCTAATGCTTATCTTACGTTATGTTAAATTTCCACATTTGCAAAATGATAGAAAGTTTATGCTTTTTGACTTAAATTAAAATAAATGTTACACTTTGAGACTTAATACAGGGAAAAATTCTTCAATACTTCCCTTACACATGAACTCTTTTACTTTGTAACGCAAAAACTTTCACACATCAGTTCTGTATAGCACTGAGAAGTCACATTAAAAGTTCTGAATTGCACTGCCTTGGATTGACATAAGATACTGTATTTCATGTATTGACCTTTATACAAATTTGTGGTGTTTTATGGACACAAATTTAAATGGAATATTCGCTGTGTTTTTAACTACATTGTACATGTATATAAAATACATGTATATTAGTAACAATATTTTGGAATTATAGTAAAATATCACTCAAAGTGCAAATTTAATTTTGTACTAATGTACATTCATGTATCACCTATTGTAACATATAATGTAACTCATTCTGGTATACATTCCTGGTGACCACACTTAGAATTTTGGATAACAAAACTGAAGAGTCATACAATACATGCATGTACGTCGATGAAGGTTAGACATCCAGGTAACACGATACGCCAAAATGCAGTTACTCAAGCAACTGGATATGATTTTGAAAACGTCAGACATTTCAGCTATCCACTAGCTTTCGTCCGTGACTGAGAGACCAGAGGGGAAATGCAGGTTTATAAGCACAAACAATTGATTGATATGCAAATAACGTGAAGACAAATTTTTGGAAGTCGAAAAAGGAACAAAAGTCAGACAAGTCAAGACAAGATAATGCAAATTTGACAGTACCGGCACTTGGGATTTGGCACTCCCAGCCCCGAGGACAGACAACACTTAAGCTCCTGTCCTGTATAACAGTTAGCCTTATGTCTAATTTGCATTATCTTGTCTTGACTTGTCTGACTTTTGTTCCTTTCTCGACTTCCAAAAATTTGTCTTCACTTTATTTGCATATCAATCAATAGTTTGTGCCTATAAACCTGCATTTCCCTCTGGTCTCTCAGTCACTGACGAAAGCTAGTGGATACTAGCTGAAACGTCTGACGTTTTCAAAATCATATCCAGTTGCTTGAGTAACTGCTTTTTGGAATACATGTATATGCATGTGTATGTCTAATTTAGCAGCTGGTTGTTGACGTTCGTAGCTGACATCATGGCATAGAAGTGTGAGTTGACGTCTGCTAGCAGTGAGCTGGGAGAATCAAACTCAACCACCTGCAAGTACATGCAAGACAGTGTATTATTATAAGTATCAGCAGTAAGCATCTTGACCCAGAAAGAGCAATATATCATACATACACAACATGTAAAGTCTCTGTCTGTCATAGAAAATAAGCAAAACAGTCTGTATGACTAGCAAAGGTGTAACTTAGATCTGTTACATACGTTGTAAGATTGTTTTATGATCGCTGACTGAATGTATTTTTGGTACAGTCGTGTATGTGTCTTGTGAATTCCAGCTGTTTTGTCACAGAAAAGGAAAGGCTGTCCTTTACAGATTGTTGTCAGGGTTGGTTTTGTCCCAGACTGCTTTTAAATTCAAAACTGTACATGTACAACAACCTATGATGATTGAGACCACACCATGATAATAAACAATGGCTTATTACTCACTATTATGATTGTATGATGTAACTTACTCTGGTATTACACCACGGTTATGTTTCATACAATGATTATATAGTACATAATATATTATTCTTGGCTACCTCTACCCAGTCAGTCTACCACACAGCATCAGAATCCAGTCAATCAACTGAAACCCAATCTTTACCCCCCCACCTAACCACCCACCTACCCACCCACCTACCCACTCACTTTCAATCCTCGCTGCTCAGGACAAGATACCCACAAACACCCATTAAACCAATGCCGCTCGAAATAGATCCATGCCATACAGATATATTGAGACAATCCTACACTACTGACCTCTCCATCCTCCATGACCAGTATCCTGTCACAGGTCAGTACAGTGTTAAGTCTGTGTGCGATGGTCAGCATGGTGCAGTCACTGAAGGCCTCCCGAATAGTTGTCTGGATCAGGTTGTCTGTCTCTGGGTCAATGGCTGCTGTCGCCTCATCTAACATCAGGATCTACAGGGGTAGAGTTCGTGTTTCTAAATTTAAGGATGATATCTGTTTTCAAATGTGTCAAAAACAGATACACAATCGACAAAGTTCTATTGCAACCTTGACCAAACTTACAGAAACTTTGGTTACTGGTACTGTCTGTTTTGCCAACTTGCAATGCTTTGACGATCGCGACACGTTATGTGTGCAACTCATAGAATTGACCATCTGATCACTGGGTCAATTTCGTGCAATTAAAATGAAACAATTGTGCCTGCAACCCAAATGCTCACCAATAAACAACAGGTTCCAATGAATCAAAATAAAACATGGAAAATGATTAATGCAATATTTTAAACTATTATCAATCATTCATAGATATTTCTAACAATGTGTTACAGGTAAAAACAAGTTGCATGTTCTTATAATCAAATTGTGGATAAATAGCATTAAGCACTTTAAAACGCCCAGCATGAAAAAGGGAGGGGTCCATCCTTGTGTGATTGGATCAAACCTTACAGTCCAGTCTTACACAGCTTGTACTTAGTGTACAAAACAGGAGTGTTACACCTAAAGGGGGTTTACAAACAAACAAAATTGTACACCGTCTGTCTGACCTTGCTATGTCTGAGCAGTGCCCTGGCCATACACAGCAGCTGTCTCTCTCCCACTGAGAAGTTGTCTCCGTTTTCCACAACAGGTGCCTCCAGCTGCAGCTGTAGGCCCGAGATCTACAGGGAATAAAGGAGTGAAAGTGATCTATCTTGCACTCTATCTCTTAGCTCACTGATGTGATAGACAAGACAGATGCCATGTACAATGAATGGAATATACCAGTCTGGTTCATATACATAATGTAGAACCGGGGAAATTTCCCTAGCTTTTTTCGACAAGTACAGTGAACAGTTGACCATGATCGGGCGGGTGACAGCAGCCAGGATTCAAACTCATGACCTCTTGGTCCAGGAGCAGGAGCAGGAACCACTGGGTTCACTTTATACATTTTACATGCTAGATACAGTGTCCTGATCATAAGCAAGATACAAAGAATTAAAAGTTTTTTCAAAAGTTACATGGTCATACCCAAGCTTTGCAATAAATTTAGCTCTCATTTATTTCATAATAAATCATGTAATATACAAGCTAGCTTTAATTGTTTCTTATGTTTTGTGAAATGAATTTAATATACCTGTTCATTGGACATCTAAGAGCAAAGTTGAGTAACTGCAAATGCAAGTCAGCCTTTAAAGGCCTTTTGTGAACTTTGAACAATCATAAAACTGTTACAAGTCACATTCTAGTAACAAATTATTATGTCTATTGGATACTAGGTTAGCCTCTACCAGGCTTGGGGAGGCGGCTGGAAAGAGTAGAAATCAGCCGGCAAATAGAGAGATACAACTGTAAGCATGCCAAGGGAGTTTGTTGAGAGAACAGTTCGCCGCACCGTTCTCTCAACAGACAAACTCCCTTGGCATGCTTACAGTTGTATCTCTATTTGCCGGCTGATTTCTACTCTTTCCAGCCGCCTCCCCAAGCCTGGTAGAGGCTATACTAGGTGACATTTTATCAATTAGTACATACTGCTTGCTTCATGTGTGTTCTCTCCAGAGCACTCCAGATTTGGTCATCACTGTACTGCTCAAACGGGTCCAAATTGTACCTACATGTAAAAAAGCAAAATTTTCTTCAAACAGTGGATTACGAAGCAGCTGTTAACTTTACAGTCACGTGGTATTAAGGTTGAAAAGCTAACTTTCTCATAATGCTCTGAGCCAAATTCAATCAATCAACCGCAGGCTTCAGTAGAGATGCATGGCGGCTGCAGACATGTCCCTCCAGGATGTTCTGTTTTTTTGCCAGATCTCTCCAGTCAGTTCTGCTGACCCCTAGAGTGTCAAGTGTGTTGAAGACTAGAGTGTCCAGTGTGTTGAAGACAAATTCAGGCCTTGCTATAATTGCTTTATATCCTCATCATAATATGACATAACTGTTAATGCAGAAACTGTCATGATGGTGTTTTTTTTTATTTTCGTACTTTTCCTGGTGACCTGTCTTAAAATCATAGTTCTACATTACTACTGTGAATAGTTTTACAGTACTACTGAGAAATATTTTGATCGTAAACTTTAAAAGACATGACGAATCACGAACAAGGCAAATGCATTTAATTTTAATTTTACAGTATCGTGTCAATCACAAATTCCATCAAATAGGATAAGCCGCTTAATGATTAAAATAAAGTTGGCCACACCCACCTGACAGTTCCCACGAATAAGACAGGGTCCTGTGGGATGATTGACAGCTTGCTGCGCAGGTCCTCCAGGCCAATAGTGGAAATGTTGATGTCATCAATACTGATGGAGCCTGATGCTGCTTCAACCAATCGGAACAGGGACACTCCTAGAGATGACTTGCCTGGGAAGGCAGACAGAAGAATTTATGATTCATCATAGAAGATTCACCGAGAAATGTAACAAGTTTCCATTGAAGGTTCATCTGTGTTGGTAGAAATCATTATGAAGCAAGTTTAAACTGCATTTTCCAACACAACAAATTGGACTCGTCTGTACAACTCCAGTCTTTGTCAAGGAATGAGCAATCCACCGCTTCCGTGACGTCACGCACATAACACATGTGACTCCGTGAGCAGTGGATCATTCCATGACAAAGACTGGAGTTGTACAGTCAAAAATTTGGGTGGGTCCAATTTGTTGTGTTGGAAATTGCAGTTTAAACTTGCTTCATAAGTTTCCATTGAATCTATTGAAAAGTGATTTTACAAGAAATCCATTACGGACTGCTTTGGATTACATCGAGTTGCATAAAAACATTCTAACTTTCATTGGACTACTTTCAAATTCAGTGTAAGGGTGCAACAAAAATATCACACAGGTAAAAATCATTTTAGCCCTTTTTGCAAATTCATATGCAGTTTAACTATACAGGGCTGAAAATACTACCTGTATACCGATGTGCAGATTAGTTGAGTTGTTATTTGTGTATTGACTAAAATCACTATTTTGATTATGTGTAAATGAAATGACAACCATACTCTCTTTTTGGTGTTGCTATCAATTCTTTCTGAATTGTGAGTGGTGCAGGAAAAAATTGTCTAGTGAAGGTAATTTCCAATGTTACCTGCACCACAGCATGCAGGTAAGCAGAAAAAAGTATTTTGAGCCCTGCTAGCACTGAAGTAAAGTATGGTGCAGTCTATATACCTGAACCAGTTCTTCCCACGATGCCAACCTTTTCTGAAGGTTTTGTGGAGAAGCTGACATCTTTCAGCACCAAGGGCAGACCCTCCCGGTAACGCATGTTGTACTTCTGGTACCGTACACGACCCTCTGAAGGCCAGGACTTGGACGGCGCAGTTTCCTTGATAGTCAATGGGGCCTCTGGTTTAAGTCCCTGTCAAGGCAAAATAAAATCACAGTCTATATGAATAAAGTTTTACATGACTAGTAGACTGACTCAAAAAACAAAAATCATGGACCCAGATGCCAAATTAGAGGCAGATGGCACTAGACAAGGGACATCAAAACAACACATAATGAAACATTCTGTTTGGTAAAAACCCTATTTGTACACACCTACAAACTTAAGCCAATGAGATTCATGACATAGACGTCCATCAAAATAGGGGTGTTTTCTGAAATATTACATGACCAGTCCTATAAAAATTGCTTCAGTGTAAACGAAAAAAACAACAACATTTGCTGAAAATTGTTACTAAAATACATTTCATATAATTTTATGGTCATACAGATGTCTAAATCCCTCCTACTATAAGATTGCAACATTGTGTATACTAACCAAACACCAGTTACCATGGTGACAGACGTCTAGAAATCAGGTAATTGGCCAGGTCAGAGGTTAGTGTTTGGAGAAGAAGAAGAGGAAACTGAGCAAAAACGAATGTTTTCCTTTGATAAATATAATTTAAAAAATTTAAAAAATAATCTTTACAAACGTATAGGTAATACATTTTTTTCCTTTTTCGTATAGACAACGGAAATCTTGGCAGTCAATTTGCAAAATACAAGTTCACACAAGTTCAGAGAAGAAAAAAAAATGTCACAAACCTTGATGTAGCTGTTAATTCTCTGGACTGACGTGAAGCGAGCCTCTGTTTCTGAGCTGAGTCGAACTGTAAACTGGAACATCCCCGTCATCTGTAAGGATCAACAGTACATGTAAGTTGTTAACAGTAAGGTTAACAGTAAGAAATGATATGCTCCTTTCATTATTTTTAAATCATCATAAGATCCTGAACTAAACTGTTGTATCACCTTTGGCTAAACTTGATTGTCTGGCCAGGTGTCATACTTTCAGGGCCAGTCTGATGCAAGAGTATAATGTATAATCATTGGTTATTACAATAAATTCACAAAAACCAAAAATACTTCAGATGTCTCATGGTGCGAAATTTGCTCTGGGTGTGTTTAGAGTTAGGGCTATGGCTATGACTATGGTTAGAGTAAGGGCTATTAATTGTTAGAATTAGGGTTAGTTTTCAGGTTATGTTTAGGATTGGGCTTAATTAAGGTAAGTTTACAAATCACGACCAATCCCCTCCCAACCCCTTTCTCAGAAACAAATATATTGGAAACCCTCAAGCACTGTTTAGGCAAAAATTTGGCGGGAACAAATGGCTTGGTACTAGTGATGTCTTGTTTCTTGCTTACTAAGACAGAGCCTGAATCTTACTAGTAATGTATAACAGAACACAGAGCCAACCCTGCTAGTTTCTTACTTGTATAACAGAAGACAGAGCCAAGCCTGCTAGGTTCTTACTTGTATAACAGAAGACAGAGCCAACCCTGCTAGTTTCTTACTTGTATAACAGAAGACAGAGCCAACCCTGCTAGTTTCTTACTTGTATAACAGAAGACATGTAGAGCCAACCCTGCTAGTTTCTTACCTGTATAACAGAAGACAGAGCCAACCCTGCTAGTTTCTTACCTGTATAACAGAAGACAGAGCCAACCCTGCTAGTTTCTTACCTGTATAACAGAAGACAGAGCCAACTCTGCTAGTTTCTTACCTGTATAACAGAAGACAGAGCCAACCCTGCCAGTGCAGGTGGCACAGAACCATGGGTAACGACCACCAGCAGAGCGGTGACAGTTGACATGGTGATGGTGATCTGGTCCAGCCGGACTGCCAGCCAGCGCATCGCACAGTGGAACACAAACATGATCATGGAGTTCTTATCCAGCAGGGCCAGAAACCTGAACAAACGACACAAATTATTAGTACTAAAATAATGTAATAATATCAGTTGTATACAATTTTAAATATCAGTTGTATACAATTTTAAATACATTTAACCCTTGTCCTGTGGGACCCATAATTATATGGGTTGCACATACAGTACCATCTAATATAGCGGCCTGTATATGTACAAGTTGGGGATGTTTTTCGTGCAACGCATCACACTGCAGTGAAACGCAACGAATGCGGAAATGACTACGCCACGCAGGGGAAAAAAAGTCAAGGGTCTGTGACCTGATTACGACTTCAAAGTACTTCAACATATTGTGTAAAAAGTCCAGAAGGACAAGTGTTAAGAGGCACAAAAGGGCCTTTGCATTGAGTTCAAAGCAGCTCACTTGTCAACTTTTAATAGTTTGCCCCGTATTTGACCGTTACTGTTGAAATAATTTTCAACTGTTGTCTTGCATTGAAGTGACAACTTATCAAAATTTGATGTACATACGCAGGACAAACTTTAAGACAATAACTAAATCAAAATTACATTTTACCAGTTTGAATTGAAAATGTTATGTCATGTAATACACACCTGTCCACAGTCTGCTCTGTTTTGTTGTAAGCATGAATAGTTGCCAGACCCTGTACAGTAGCAGTCAGATGACAGAACCAAGGAGACCGGCTCACGTTCTCTAACCTCTTCAGTTCACGCAGGGCACTGGTTGTAAAATAACAAGTATGATAAAAACCTGAAAGTTCATAAAGTGTAACTTGACTTTGTGAAATGGTGATGGTTTAAAATACAGTGAGTAAAGAGACTCTGTTTGCACAGCCAAGACTTTTATTCAGCCGATGTTTTGGTGACCTTCTGTCACCTTCCTCAGAGCAATTCTGACTGGTTCACATTGCACTGCAGCACACTGGTGTTGCTGCTACAGAATGCATTCCCAAATGTATAATATTTACATTATCTACACTTGGTTGTGCAAAAAGAGTCTCTCCTTACTGTGTCTTACCAACATGATGAAACTATAATTCATGGTTTAAAATACATTTTGAACTCATGCATATGAACATTCAAATGGTCACTGGAATGTATACGATCATGTAGATGTGATGTCATGGCTACTAAATATTCAATATTTACTGCATATTTTTAGAAGGATTAACATAACACTTAACAGGTGACCAACATCTCTTCAAGATGTCAACTGGGAAACATGGTCTGTAGGGGTTTTAAACCCAGAACCTTCAGATTCTGAGTAAAAAAAAACCCTAACCACGAGACTACCTTGCCCCCATGCTATCACTTCTACTACCAAACTGTCACAGTATACGGCCTTACAAATATTGAAATACATAATACAATATCAATCAACTTTATTGCTCAACAACTGTAACTGGTACAATGTATGGCAAAGAAACAACAAGGGTACATAAACAAACTAAATACTAAAATATAATTCTAACGAACTAATCCATGATGATACTAAAGCTAAATCCATTGTGTTTTCTTAGGAAGAGTATTATTACATTCTGTAATTCAGGGGATGCAATGTATATCAGCTATTTACAATATGGTGTCACTTTTGTAGTGATTCAGATATGAATTTTCCAATGTACACTGATATCTGAGTAGGACATGAAAGAAGCATATTATAGTCTGATTTTGAGTGAGGTAGCGTAACATTAGTTATGGAAGCTATGGATTACATCAAATATATACTAGGGTTAGGGTTAGGGTTAGTAAGTTACATGGCATTTTGTATATACAGTGGAATCAGTACCTACCTGCTAGAAAAGTTACGGATGTACAGGAAGATCCCAGCTAGTGGCACAATGGCGATGAGAAAGTACGGCAGTGCATATGCCACCATAACGATGGAGAACAGGAGAAGGCAGGAGTTCTGCAGAAACATCTCAGCTTGTAGTGGGAGTCGCACATCCACTGAAATACAACATTTAATGTAGGTGTCAACTATCTACATTGTACCATGTACATGAGTCAGATCTGTATGATCAAAATCTAGCTGTCCAACCAGGCAGATGTTTCTGGGCTAAAATTGTGACTCTAATATACAGTATCCAATAGACCGTTTGTTTGTTTGATGTTTGTTTGTTTGATGTTTGTTTGTTGTTTGTTTGTTTGTTGTTTGAGCCTTTGTTTATTCATAAAATACTCTACCTGCCAGCTGCTTTTCACTGATCAGGTCATGAGGGAAGATGAAGAGGTCAGAGTCTGACAGAATATTGCAAGACACAAGTTCAAAGAACAAAAAATATAGATAGTTACAACTCTCATAGTTGCACAACTGGCATGATACCCTGATAAATTACTGACCTGATAAACTTTTCTTTCCTATATTCTAAATGTTATGTTTAGTATAAGCACTTAACCTTATGGCAATCAGTGGTACTGCACCTTCAAATGGACAATTACGTAATAGATATATTAATTTTTACACTCAGTGATGTACTCTCACAACATTTTTAAAACTCATGACCAGTCTGTAAAATGAGAGTAAAATGCATAATCACAAAGCAAGGTACATGACCTACTTTTACAGTACATTTGGAGTCTACATTGTCAAGTCAAGACTACATTTTATTTGGCAAAGTTATTTACCTTCGTCTAAGTCCTTGGAGAAACGGTTGAGTATCCTGCCTGTTGGTGTGGTGTCAAAGAAAGACATGGGGCTGCGGAAGACAGACCTGAACACCTTGTCGTGAAGGTTGGAGGAGGCCCGAAGGGTGAACTTCATGAAGGACAGACCTTTGATGATGACCATGAACAACACCAGGATGATGGACATTCCGTAAACCAGACTGTAGAAGTGAAGGTCGGGATGGTGTCGAATACTGGTGCTGATGACTGTCTCATTACCCACTGTTATAGTGGTGTTCTGTAAAAAAGGCAAGGAAAGGATTCTTTATAAATAATAATAACTTTATTGCACAACAGTTGTACATGGTACAAAGTATGGCATCTACTAACTTAAATAAGTACATATCAATGACATTTTCATAAGGCTAATACAAGAGTGGGTGGCTAGTATGAGATATCAACTTACACAATCTTACACAAAAAACAGTTTCTAATATCCATACAGTCTTTATCCCTATTTTATATGTACTTACTAGGTACAGTCAAACCTAAGCCCAAGTGGCCAGCACTTCAAGCTGGCCACTTGGCACAACAACAGTCTTTCAAGCTAGCAATTTTTTTTTTCGTACATGTAGGTACAAGCAATGTTCTAGCCATCGTCCATCTTTCCATCATTTTGCTGCTCATGACGGACAAAAATTAAGCCCAATCCGTTATCATTGACAGACAAAAATTGGCATGACAAAAAAGATATGGAAAGAAATGTCATTAAACTAATTATAAGCTTAGACCATACCAGCAAACTTTGCCCCCCAAAATGAAGGAAATAATATTTCAGAGGGTCAAGATTTAAAAATTTTACCAGGGAAGCAATAACTTAAAGATGCTCCCAGACCCCCCAATGATTATAATTATTATATTATATATTACAGTTACATCAAACAAAATTAAGACTAGAAAAGGTAACATTTGCAAAGCAAATAGTAAATTGCATAATGTTTACCTTCGCATATGGTTTGCTCTGTTAATTTTTACTCAAATACATTCATATAAAAATTATATAATATATTATATGGTCAGAAAGGAGTATAAATCCCTTCAACTATAAAATTGCAACATTACATTATGTAACCCAACACCAGTTACCATGGTCAGAGACGTCAACAAATCAGGTCATTGGCCAGGTCAGAGGTCAGTGTTTGGAACGGAAGAAGAAGAAATGTGGCAAAAACAATTACATTGCATATATAATTATACAGTTTATTATATTATCATGTTTTCCTTCTGTAAACATGATGGAAAAACTAAATTGACAAGAAAACTCACCCCACTTCCTTGCCTCAGCCAAAGACTCAACCAAAAGTTGCTGAAGCCCATCGCTCCCACAGCCAAGATAAAGGTCAGAAGGACCAGCACAGATAACAGGTAACCTCCTCCTGCCTTAAAGTAGTCAGCATATGTCCTCCATCCAATACTGCCACTCTCTATATCCTCCTTTGTTACCAGACTGCCTGGAAAGGACACAAATTGTACTAAATTAACTAAAGTCAAAACTGAATTTTTATTATTATATACTAACAGCAGCTATGTAAGAAATTACTGGATTAATTTTCAAGATGGTCTGACTCTGATGTTAAGTTTCAGGAAGCATCTGCTTATTGTCAGAGACTGAAAGAAATTTATGATCAGTAGTCAACACTACCAGTCCTGAAACATCTGACCATTTTCAAAATCTATCCAGTAAGTTGTTGTACTGTTTACCTCGATGTCTAACCTTCTTCAATGTAGATTCAATACTCTTCAAATTGCTACATGTAACATGACATGTAAGTTATTATGTCTTTAATTTAAAGACATGATGACTTACAGTGTACATGTAGCAATTTTTTCTAAAGTTTTAACAATTTAGAAAAAGGTATTTGGGGGTGTTTTTATTACAGCATAGATGACATTTTAGTAGTCATGCGCTTCTTCATTTCATGAGTGGCATAACTTCATGCTCTGTACAGGTAAAAATGTATCAGGAGCAAAAATGCAAAGAATGTATAATTTATCAACTTATATGTATCTCTGAACATGCTTCAGTGTTTTCCCATTAGCAGCAAAATAATCAATATTCAGTGTGAGAAAAGACCAAGACTTTTAGTGTTCCAAAACCTTTCAGCTAAAATATCACACATATCATGATGTCAGTGAACCCATACACATGCCAAAATCATTTATAAATTGCACACGTCCTACATTAGTAGGCTGGGTACTAGAAAAATGTCACACTATACTTTGGAACCCTATCTCTATTGCTCTGTATGAGGGACCATGTTGTTCGCCGATACTTTCAGTAGAGCTGTCTCCTATAACAAAGTAGAAAGCCATGATTATATATAGTGACATTGAGAATACAACTTTGGGCCTTTGAAAGTGTACATCAGCCCAAGAAGCTTGAACAGTTTTCGGGGGAAACCTCCTGGACCAGTGAAGGTAAAAGTAAGATGCACATTTCTAGTCTAATAGCCTTTTGAGGCCGTAGGGGCAGTGGGTTGTTACCCACTGTGTCTGGGGCATGAAATTGGAAGGCAGAGCCCATCCACTAGTACATGTACATGTACCTCCCCAACCTAAAGGCACGGACACATTTCCGAACCCATGCCCTGCAGGGCCCACCCGGGCAGTCGTTTGGAGTGAATTTCAAAGTTATGATATAAGAAAGAAGAATAAACAATAAAAGTTTTTAGAAAATCAAACATGAGCACTATTTGTGCATACCCTTAATAATAGAAATTGTTTATTTTTCGTTCACGCAAACAACCCGGCCGGGCCCCGGCTTGGAAATGTGACCGTGCCCTAAGTCAGGTACCCATTTTACACCTGGGTTGGAGGAGAAAAGTCCTTGTTATGAGCCAGTAAGGCCAGGGGTCGAGCCCCTAACCTCTCATGTCTGCTAGCATAGCCACTCTGTGATTTGATGCCACATTCTGTAAAACTTTGAGTAAAATAACCTACAAAATGTGCTGAACAACCCTTGCTGAAGAAAAAGTCAATTGAAACTAAATACATATTAAACAGTCTGCACTGATCCTTTGTAATGCCATAGTCATGATAATCAGAGCATCTCAGTTACCTGATAAATCTTCCTCTTCCTCCTCTTCCTCCACTACTAACACATCGCCATTGTCAGCAATACTGGTGGAGGAAACTACAGAAGACAGGCGTTTTCTGCGCTGTGCATCCATTGATGATTGTCTCCTATAAAGAGATCATACAATGTACACAGTTTGTTAATGTTCAATGTGTGTAGAATTGACTTGCTTGCTTACCCCTTGGCCTGCTAATGTGGCCATTTGGCACCATATTTGTATAATATGGGTTTAAGTAGCAGGGAGGATGTAAACTCAGATTCAGAAAATAAATTCACTGACAGAATTCATAATAATCACATTATGGCAACTTTTTTGACCAACGGTCCCGCTCCCCATCCCTCAACCGTGACCAAGGACGCCACAGACTCCCTCATCCAATGACCCCTTTTATGAGCTGAAGAAAGACGGCGGATGCCACCTGAAAGCTTCTCTGAGCTGAAATTTGTTGTGAGTACATGTATATAACACCAGTTTAACTCCTTCTTTCAATGTAGTCATACTAGTATACTTGTGTCAGTTTTGGGGTTCCTAGAGATTGTCATCCATATACTGAAAATAACTCTTTATTTGCCGTACCTTTACATTCACGGTTACTTCTGTATACTGCGAATTTATCATTACCGCCAACAAAAAATTCTCTGACTTTCTTTCTTCTGCACCTGGTGCTTATAATAATAGTAGTGCCGCAAACATATCCATTTTTCTCAGACTGTGGAATTTTGCTACCATGAAATTCAATATAAAGTGATTTACAGTAATCAAATTAGTATGGTCTAACCTATAGTCTCTTCAGTCCCAATCTATTCTTACATGAGTTTGTCTCCCTTGATGTTGTTGAGCTGCTCTGTCTCTTCTCCATCAGATTCCTCCCCTGTCTCCTCATCACAGTGTGATGTCATGTAGCCCTGTATCATCCTGGCATAGTCTTCACCTGCTGCCATCAGCTGACTGTGTTCACCCTTCTCTGCTATCAGACCATCCTTCATCAGGACAACCTGGTCACACAGGTGCAGGTACTGCAGGGAAAGAACAGATTTTACAGCTGACTGTGTTCACCCTTCTCTGCTATCACACCATCCTTCATCAGGACAACCTGGTCACACAGGTGCAGGTACTGCAGGGAAAGAATATGCAACATTTACTGTTTTTGTGAAAGCCAGATGGATGATTGCCTTCGTCAGAAGGGTATGTTTTCAGTTTGGGTCTGGTAGAGCAGCTGTGGTGTGGGTCTGTATGAAAGTCAATGCCATAGTTGCTGTAACTGTGTCAGTTGTGAAAATAAAGGTCAAGTTGGTCAAAATGGTACACCTTGCTTTTTCAAATGGTACTGCACATGCGTACTAGTGGGCAGTTTACAGACTATGCAAGATAATGAAACAACATATAGCAGGTATGACAGTGTGTGTGTCTATTATTTTGTTTGTTCAACTGTCTGCTCTAATTTCATAGAACATGATTGATGTGTTCAAGAATTCTCTTCTCAGACATCCCAAACACAAACCTGAAACTTAAGGTATTCTTTTAGGAAAAGGGAGGAAAACTGTGAAGATGAACCTTTCCTTACCTGTAGTTGATGAGTGACAAACAGCACAGTTTTGTCCTTGAGAGCTCCCATGATGCAGTGGGTGAAGATGTGCTGTCCCACGTGAGCGTCCACAGCGCTGAGTGGATCGTCCAGCAGGTAGACGTCCCTGTTACTGTAGACAGCCCGCGCTAGACTGATGCGCTGTTTCTGACCTCCACTCAGGTTTATCCCTCGCTCACCAATCTGCAAGTTGGCATGATTTCAGCATGATTGTTCTCTGTTATAGCCTCTTCAGGCTAACATCACTTAATATTGCTGCAGTCGTTTGGACAACATTGTGTCCATATTGCACAATAATGATTGAGTGGACAAAACTCTAACATTCAACAAAACTCTAACATTCAAACTTCCGGGAAGTTTGCAATCCACAAATTCCTGAATGTCGACCTTCATGACTTTGTCAGCTTCTAAAACCTTTGATCGGGGTTTGATCTCCTGTCATTCTGCTTGTCAATCTTTCCCTCACCCATATGCTATCAACCGATGTCCAAACAGATACACACCAGGTCCTGCAACTCAGCCACCCAAAACAATACTTGTTACCCAGAAATTAACAACTTAAACAACTTTTCTTGAACATGCAAATGTCATTCAATGTCTTAAAACCTTCGTTGTTTTGTCTAATGCTTATCTCATATCTAACTCATACCTACTAGTAGATAAATTCTTTTTTTTTTAAACCGAATTTAACGTCATTTTTCCCCCGGGGGTTAGACGTGCTTGCACCAAGTACAAGTCTTTTTTTTGAAGCAGGATTTTTACGGCTGGATGCTCTTCCTAACGCAAAACCAAAACCCTAGTAGGGCCTGGGATCCCTCTAACTGAGGGAGGAAACGCATGTTAAGTGCCTTTCCCAAGGGCACAACGTCTGGGTGCATGTCCGGACATGTCTGGGTCCAACCCTGGGGATTGAACCTGGGTCTTCTTACTTGACAGTCGGACGCTCTATCCACTACACCACACAGACACCACATCTAAAATCACAATTAAACTGTTTCCTTATCGAACCTCAGTCAAGTCTCCTGCTGGCAGCACATTGAAGTCATGAGTCAGGCTGCAGGTTCTCACAGCATCTTCATACCTACAGAGGAAAACAGCTTTCTGTTTATTGTTTAAAACAACTCCATTAGTGACAATACATGACACAACAGTTACTCTTCCTGAAGTTTTAAGTAATAAATACATAACGCAAAGAATTACGACATACAGCCATATCATGAAATTTGAGTACACAATTTAACATTACATTCTTTTAATACCACCAGTTCTGTATAAATCCAGTTTGCGTCAGTTTGCACTTTCAGTCTGTCTTTGGTTGAGTGTTTTGAATAAGGAAGGTACAGATGTTCTGATGTTTGTTCTGTTGTTGGCATTTGCAAGATTATATGTATGTGTAATACAGGCAAACCTGTACAAGTGACAACCTCTAACATAAGACCCAACTTTCCATTGACACAATCATTAAGTATACTGTCTACAGTGACCATCTGTCCACAATTATACATGTAGATCAGAAATGAAACAAAATGAAATATAGTTTTTGCTAACATTCTACAATATCTTATTTCGTGCATCCAAATATATTCAGGTGGGATGCACCTATTCCCAGAAATGAATTTCGAGCCCTGAATTTGAATGACAAAATACATGTAATAACTACATTGTACCTCTGTTGGTCATAGTCCTCTCCAAACAGGATGTTGTCCCTGACAGAAGCGTTCATGATCCAGGCCTGCTGGGCCACGTAAGCCACACTGCCTGTCAGTCCTACTGTTCCACACACCACACGCATCTAGGGAAAAGACTTCCAGGTTAGAATCATGGCCTGTAGACAGCGCATAAAACCCCTGTACACGTATGTAAGACAGAAAGACCACTGCCTTACAAGTATGTACAAGTCATGTAAGTTTGCCAACTCCCTATTTGTGTCTATACTTAACTCACTCTACGCCAAGGCGAGTCATGTTCAACATTCAACAATGATATCACATTCACCACTATACAGGGTTCTCACCAGGATTTTTTCACTGCGTAGGGGTGCAAGTCGCGCATTGAGTCCCAAAAATATGACCACAGCAGGAGGTCTGGTATTCTTCACACAAAATTTTGTAACTCATAAGCCCCTGTGACAATGTTTCTTGCTTATTTGGGGACAGTTTTTGTTTTCCCTTGAATGTATTGCTTCATTCTTATTACTAGTAAGTTATATTTTTAATTTTTTGAAAGATTTATGAAGCTTCTGCCCCCAAAAAACACCCCTACGCTGATTGAAAGAAAGTGTAGGGGTCCAAATCACAGCGTAGGGCTAGGGGGCCCCTAAGCTCAAACAGTCTGGTGAGAACTAAGCTATATGTCGTTGATCATGAGTAAGGCTCTTGAATGCATTGTGAATAGCCATCAAGGTGCGTGAAATGTCTTTTAAATGTCTTTTAAACTTGTTACGATAAGTGTACAGAGGCAATTTAGACCATGGGCTATGTGTGCGAAATAAATAAACCATCATGCATACATGTACATGCATACAATGTCAAACTCAGTATATACCATACCTGACCCAGGATGCCTGAGATGAGAGAACTCTTCCCACTGCCAACACTGCCACAAACACCTGTTAACGTGCCCTGGGGAATCAGAACATGCACAGATGACACTGTATCAGGGTCAGAATCAGGTTTTGTACACTATCATATGAGAAGTCTCTCTTATCGTTTTGATCAATGATGAGATGAAGGTTTGCTAGAATTGTACAATAAACTAGAAAAACAATCTGAACAGCTATGTTTATTTTTTTTTACATATTTCATAATGTGGTACATGGAATTCCCACCAGTCCACAACACATTGTTTTTTGTAGTCCGAACGAGTGATAATCTCTTGTAATAAAATAACTGTCTGCTACATGTATTTCACCGTAAACTTATCCAAATTGAATGTAATATGTGATCTAAATCACCATTTTCATTGTATGGGTGCAATTTTGTTCAGCAATAATAGTGATGAATGGAAAGCTATGATTATACATTATATGATGTACATGAAGAAAAGTTAAAAGTAAAAAAAATACCTTTGGGAGCTCCAGGTCAATGTTGACGAGTGTTTTCACCAAATCCTCCACCGATTCTGCATCGTCCTTTGTCAGAGGAACTTTCTCAGTATTCCCATGGGCCACTGGGGCAGTCCCAGGATTTCCTGCTTCCTCTTCCTGCCTGATGGTGTCCCAGGCGAAGGTCGCGCCTGTGATCTCGATGGTGTTTCCTGGGTCTGAAGGTCGAGTGGTGAAGGGCTTCCTTTCCTCCATATCAAGCAAACTCTGGCAAAAAACAGTTTGTCTTCAGTTAATTTAGGCCACACCAATTTAATTTGTTGGTTCTCGGATTCGCCTTTTCATTTTTTTCTGATTTGCAAAAAAAAAATATGATTCTGGTTCTGAATCAACTGAAAAATGCTCATGTTTTGCCCCCAACAGTTGAGGACAGTCCTTTTCTTCCTAGTTGTTACAGTTTTCCCATCTATCATTGCAGTGGTTTGATTAAAAGTTCAAAATTCAATGTTTAAATTTTAACCCAGCCTTTTGTGTTGACTTCATGGCTCATTTTGTAGCATTTAAGCCTATAATAGGATGCCTAGACCTGTTTTTATTTTTATTTTTTTTCGCCCTGTCGCTTCATATTTTTTCTGAAAAAATCTGAGAACCAACAAATTAAATTGGTGTGGCCTTATTATAATAAACAGAATTGATTGTACCAAAAGGGGCAAGGGTGCAGTATGTTTCATTCCCTTGCCATTGTACTCGCATTTTACTTCCAAACATTGATAACCCTGAAAACACAAAACATACATTGTATTTGTGCGCGACTAATTTCATCAGGTTCAATTGGTGAATGATTGAATACAAGTTCTTTATTCACAACCATTTGTATAACAAGAACTGATGTTTTGATGACCGTCGGTCATCTTCACAAGGGCTAATATTGGTAATACTGAGCAATGACGCTAGCTACAATGTAGGTGTTACAGCTTACCTCACTTCTGTTGTAACAATATCTACGGGACAACGTTAACATTGTTAGCAGTAACACCAAAGCTCCAGTGCATACTGAACCGCAGTCATAACTGCTGATTCAGAAGAACTGGTAAAGACAACAGAGCCGTTTATCAAAACATCGGCTCTTGTTAAACATGTGGTTGACAAGTGAAGAAAGAATGTTCAAATTGCTTTAATCTAAAACGGCAGTCAGTTGATAGGGTATTCCAATATCAGAACACGTCATGATTGTTCAATTCAAATTAGTATACATCAGATTTACATCTTTGGTGTTTTAAAGAAGGTGGGGACATTTAGGCCCAAATTTGTGCACCTCGTAACAATTGATTTTTGTATTCTATATGATTTTAAGACTTGTGCAATCAAGCTTCATAAATTGAAATTATTGCTGTTTCTAAAAAAAATTATATGTTGTTTATAAAGCATCGGTCACAACCTGCCGTGCATGCTTTTTGTCCATACGTTTTATTGGGAGGTCACGTCTGCTACGTTTTTCTGAAAACATATATAGGGAAGCAGTGGCATCAACACACGTCACTCGCACGGTTGCCCAAGGTGAAAGAGTGGGGTCTGCACACCACGTCTGGCCGTGAGTGGTTGCGTGCATCGTTCGTTGCTCAAGTGGTGAGTTGTACATGCTTACGACGTACGATCTCTGTGCAATTGCCACTTTACCGTAAGGAGGCCGTACTCACATGCTGCGTCCGTACGGTACGTACGGGGCACGCGCGTGAACCCGTAGACCGCCCGCAGACATGCACTTAAAGTTCTACGGCGTGTCTGCGTGCTCCTAAATCCGTATGCGATTCCGTACGGAGGCGGGACTCACCACTTACAGATCCCCTACGTTTGCCCACGTTTTTGCACATAGACAGCACGCAGATGCACGTATGGTGGGTTGTGACCAATGCTTTTAAGCAAAAACTCAACAGCATGATAGAAAGATTTGATTACCTACATGTACACACAGAATTTTGTAAGACTCTTTTGAGGCTTCTTAGGTGCGGTTACCTTGAGCCTCTCCAGTGCCACCGAGCTCTCAGAAAATGATTTCACACAATGCGGTAACGGTCGTATGCAAAAGTTCATACAGTTAAAGGCTGGTAGCAAGGAAAATGCCTGTTAAGATAAAATACAACTGTTATAAAATATAGAAAACCTGCCCAGGCATAACAGGGTAGATAATATTAGGCCACAGCAAGTAAATTTTACGGATGACATCCTCCGCAGACTTAAAATCTAATGCGAGCGGGCGAAAAAAAACATCAAGAGGGGCCAAAAAACAAAAACAAGCTACCTACATTATAAACTTTTGACTAAATCATGATTGTACAAATGGTTTTGATTCAGTGGGAACATCACATATACACAGCCTGAATCAAAGTAAGAAAAAAACATTAAGTCAGAGCCTTTTCTTGTCTCCTCTCTTCATAGTTACCTGCCATCCACCCTCCGGCATGGCAACAGATTATCTTTGCCCATTTTCGGCAATTGTTGACCACTGTCAGAGGGCAACAAAATTTCTTGTTTTTTTCCCCAAATCAGGCAAAAATCAATGCGCGTGCTGATATCATCCATAAAAATTACTTGCTGTGGCCTTATTCAAAGTCTAACAATTGCAAGTTACCTTGACACGTTGTAGCGCTACTCTGCTCTCTGCGAGGTATTTGACGCAGAACGGAAGTGTGGCCAACATAAATCGCATCGAATTGAAAATGGCCAACATGGTAAAGGCCTAGAAGATTCAGAATATGATTTTTGGATTAATGTCAGTAAAGAAAACATAATAATTAGTATAAAATCATGTATAAATCAAAAATTATACACAATGATTTTTGCTGCAACATGTCTAAGGAGCAAATTAAGTGACACATGCATTGGGCTAGAATATAATTGTCATAATAAATAAATTATAATAATATACTTTATTGACACAACAAAAGTACAGCGACTTTGGAAGGTCTAAAACTACATCATAGACATACAGGCAAATACATTGGGTACAAAATAATAGTATAAAATTTTACATTTTGCAGTTACAACTGTAGTTTTATTTCATAGAAAGAGGAAAAGGGAGGTTTTCACTTTGTTTTGGAAGAAACAAGTAAAAACAAACCTGTGATGCTGTGAGATCATTCCCAGTCATCACATGTAACACAATGGTGAGAATACTGGCCAGGACAGGCACAAGGGGAGATGTGGAGATACTGAAACTCTGTATGTACGCAGCCTTCTCCAGAACCTTCCTCTCATCACTTCTTACAGCTGTATATCGGCAGAGAAGTATAGTACACGTTAGCGGCTGTGTACATGTACCTAAACCCACATTTAGGTTCAGGTCCGGATTCAAATCCAGAGGTTTAGGTTCAGTTCCGGACTTGCAAGTCCGGTCCTAAACCCAAGGCATATACAAAATTGCATGTTAGCAACCTTGCAATGTTGTTTGGGAACACTTTGGCCACATAACATGGAGGCCGGTACTTGACGATGCCTGATGCATGAATGTTTTATTCATGTTGCAGCACAGATTTTGTAATCTATGGAAAGTTTTAGGCGGTTTGGAAAGAAAAGTGGTATGTGACATGTTTTTTTTTTTTTTTTGAATAAGTCTGGAATCGGTTCTTGACTTTTAGGTTTTTTTTACTTGAACATAAAAATTCTTATAAGTCCGAACCTGAGTCCTGGGACCAGCAAACCAGTACACAGCACTAGTACACGTCATTAAAACTTTCAACACATCCCTATATAGTAGGCCCTTGTGAAAGGCACTTTATGCCTACATGTACTAGTACCAATATTTCCTCACTTGAGCTTCAGTTAGGGACGTCAATCTAGGTTCCGAGGTGAGCCACATGTCAAGCATGTTTAAGATGCTACCTCACTTATCAAAGTAATAGTGGACCTCTGCTGGTGTGAGTGGATCAAACCTTACAGTCCAGTGTTACACAGCTTGTACTTTCTGTACAAAACTGGTGGTTACACCTAAAGACAGTTATTGGTTTTAGGAAACAAACAACAAAAGTCCAGTGAGTCCTATAGTGTGAGAAATACATGCACACGTAAACATTAATAGCATGTTTGTTGACAGCCAGTCCATGGAGTATGATTCTACAGGTACAGACTTCAACCTGGTTGTGTAAAAAGAGTTTCCTCAAATCTACAGGTAGTCAGTCAGTCCACAATGTATATCATGATTATTATTTTAGCATCTACAATGTACATTATCATGAAAGTTCATCTTCGTAGTTACAGTTAAAACTTTTGGTCCAACACAAGAAAGTTCTCTCACCTAGAGCTTTCGACCAGTCACTCTGGTCTTCCTCAGTAGTTGACGTCACACTTCAAAAAAGTCATGTGACAAGCTTCACTGGGTCAGTCTACTGAGGAAGACCAGAGTGACTGGTCAAAAGCTCTAGGTGAGAGAACTTTCTTGTGTTGGACCAAAAGTTTTAACTTTAGACATACAATGTTCATTTTATATCATACATCACAGCTTTCCAAAAATCTCTAAGTTCAGACATTCAGGCAAGTTTCTTACCACTAACAGCCCTCCCAAAAGGCATCTCCCAGGCGTACATCTTGATGAGTTTAACACACGTCAGGATCTCGTTCATGGTCCGTACACGTTTGTCTGTGATGGCGATGCATTTTCTTCTGAGGTGTGAAGTTAGACGAGAAATCCCTGCCTGGAAAATAAGTATTATAGTTAGGCCACACCAATTTAATTTGTTGGTTCTCGGATTCGCCTCTTCATTTTTTTCTGATTTGCAAAAAAAAAAAAATGATTCTTGTTCTGAATCGACTCAAAAATGCTCAGATTTTGCCCCCAACAGTTGAGGAAATTCCTTTTCTTCCTAGTTGTTACAGTTTTTTCCATCTATCAATGCAGTGGTTTGATTAAAAGTTCAAAATTTATCCTTTAAATTTTAACCCAGCCTTTTTTGTTGACTTCATGGCTCATATTGTAGCATTTGGGGCTATAATAGGATGCCTAGACCTGTTTTTATTTTTATTTTTTTTCTCCCTGTCGCTTCATATTTTTTCTTTAAAAATCCGAGAACCAACAAATTAAATTGCTGTGGCCTTACTGTAACATCAGCTATAGACCAATAATACAGGGGTTAATAATTATATGGAAACTTTTTAAGCCATTCCAATTGTTTCCAATCGTTTTCAAGCTTAAGGGACAGGAAATGGCACAATCTCTCTTAAGGCCACACCAACGTAATTTTACAGATGACATCCACGCGCGCATTGATTTTTGCATGTTCTCAAAAAAAAAAAGAATCATGTACTTGGCTCTAGGCCTGGGTACTCCATGGTAGTTAGCGACAATAGGGAGCCAGTGGTGGACCTGACTCCAGGACAAAATAACTCAGTACATGAGTACAGTGCCGATTCATAAATTCTGCAAAAAGCCAGCATGTGCGAGCTTGTTGTACACGTCGCTATATGTTATGTACTGCCGCAAATTCAGAATACTGGCTTTGTATTCCTATGGGGTTTTTTTTGGCCGAAATTTTTTTATTTGCCCCTGCACACTTATTTAGGGATCTCTGGAGGATGTCATCCATAGAATTAAGTCGGTGTGGCCTAATAATGCAAAGTAAAATAATTGTGAAAATCAAGGACAATCATTGTACACTATTTGCATAAAATCATGTTCTATACCTGAAATGGGTAGAACAGGATGAACATGGAACAGCCCAGCAGTGAGGCTGGACCAATCAGGTACAGCGTGTAGCAGAAACCCAGGATGAAGATGGCCGGAGCTCCGCACATCAGGATGAAGAATGACGTGGCATCAAACAGTCGCTGGCCATCATTAGCACACAGATTCACCAACTGTACAGAAAAAAAAGGATTACACAATCATTCAAAAATAAAGCACAAAATGGACAGTGAGAAATGGCCTAGGAAGATCCTCACACAGTGACTGTATGTAGAATTGAAAGCTCAAACCCTTGTGGTCAACCAATTGAAGAGATTGTTTGACACTCTAACTAGTCTAAGGGAGGACTTCCACCACTTGAACCTACATAACGTTAACCAACAGGATAGAGGAAAGTGGTGGGCTGCCATCAAGCCCCAGTATTGCTGTGCAAGCACACCAATTTTCTATGTTTTTATATTATAACCCTCGGAAGTTGGGGAACAACAGACACTAAACCGGATACTGATATTACACAAAAGCCTTAAATCTACTATTCTTTTCAGCCATTTATTGATATGTCTATTATTTAAAGTAGATTCTCTTTTTACTTACACTGATAGAGGTATTGTTTTGGGTAGTGCTAGTTTAGGGAAAGTTTGTATGTTTGGGTTCCTGAGACTTGGAAGGATGATGTACTAGTAATAGTACGTTTAATCGTCTATTACATCTTCCTTTAAACTCAAATGTTTTGACGTGAGAAGGCACAGATTAGCTTACAGTTGATTGACAGTGTGCCATATACATGTACCATATTCTACATGTGTACTTCTTGGAAGTGTTCTTGTTTTATCATGCAATATTAATCATAATCTTAAAGAGTCCTGAGATCCATTGTTTGCTTATCAATTAGTGGTCAACACTGAAAACAATACCATGGGCTAACTGGTAATTGATTGATACTAAATTACAATTAATTTGATTACTGAATGATGATACTAATTAAGCTGGTACTGGACCATACAAATATTACTTATACTTCATTCTAACACTAATTGTAAGTTAAGTTCTGGATAGCAGGAAAGAGCATGGATTGAACCTTGATTAGGCCACACCAATTCAATTTGTTGCTTCTCGGATTTTTCAGAAAAAATATGAAGCGACAGGGCAAAAAAAATTAAAATAAAAACAGGTCTAGGTATCTTATTATACCCCAAAATGCTACGATAGGATCCGTGAAGTCAACACAAAATCAATCACGAAAGGCCAATTGATATTTAAACAAATTGAATGAATTTTGAACTTTTAATCAAACCACTGCATTGATAGATGGAAAAACTGCAACAACTAGGAAGAAAAGGACTTTCCTCAGCTGTTGGGGGCAAAATATTTGAGTTGATTCAGAACCAGAATCTTTTTTTTTTTTCAAATCAGAAAAAAAATGAAGAGGCGATTCTGAGAGCCAACAAATTAAATTGGTGTGGCCTTAGAACTTAAAAAATGATACGGTAACCACAGACCTCCCCTACTGTCTTGTCCTTGAGACTTCTGAGACGAGTAATCTTGGTGAAGATGAGTGTCAGGACGGCCCCCAGGACTCTTGTAGCACTGCGGTAACTAAGGCACCAAGTGGCTGCGAAAAACACAGATCTGGAAGAGAAACACAGTATGCGCAGGTTAGTGCATGTATAAAATTAGAGGTGTCTACCTGCACCTAACCTGCATTGGTCCATGTACTGGGTATATGCAGGTTAGTGCAGGTAAAATTGGAGCTGTGCAGGTATTTCTGATGTCTACCTGCACCTAACCTGCACTGGTCCATGTACTGGGTACATGTATATATGCAGGTTAGTGCAGGTAAAATTTGAGCTGTGCAGGTATTTCTGGTGTCTACCTGCACCTAACCTGCAATGGCCCATGTACTGGCTATATGTAGGTTAGTGCAGGAAAAATTGGGGCTGTGCAGGTATTTCTGATGTCTACCTATACACCTAACCTGCACTGGTCCATGTGCTGGGTACATGCAGGTTAGTGCAGGTAAAATTGGAAATGTGCAGGTATTTCTGATGTCTACCTGCACCTAATCTGTACTGGTCCATGTACTGGGTATATGCAGGTTAGTGCAGCATAAGAGTTGTCTATTTCTGATGTCTACCAACATGTAGCTTGTAGACCATGACAAAACCACCCCCAGACACTGGGGGACATATACAGCAGTAGTCAAAAACTGACTTGCATCATTAAAGAGAGTAGGGAACTTGATAGTAAATTTAGAAATGGTGCTACTTGAAAGAACGTTTCCTTTTTTGTGAACTGAAAAGCAAAGAAACTGCATTGCAGGTAAACTTGTCTGGTGTACATGACATGTACATGTAGTAGGATTTTAAATGTTGACTGCACGAGTACAGGTATACACTCAGAAAAAAAGTTTTCGAGCCCTATATATAGTTTTACAAATGAATATATATCACCAATATCTTGTTACATTTGAGAAAAAGTACAATTTTAATTTGATTATACTACATTTTGATAGAAGTTAATAAGCTAACAGTTACTATTACTCATTGTTTAATAAGTAATAATAGGAAAGCCACAAAGCGAAAGTCTCAAATTCATAGTATATTTTACATGTATGTAGATTTCATTCAACATCATTATACTTAAAATTGATAATTTACATCCCAACAATAGGACAATGGCAAAAGCTATTATATTAAATTTTTTATTTTATCTGACAGAAAAAACTCAGACTGTTACCTGGACATCTCTGTTACAAACATGGCGATGACCAGCCCGACTCCCAGGGGCCAGTTCACCTCCCTGGACTCAGCATAGATCAGCAGGTTCCTGATCACAAACGCCTGGAAACAAGATATGGAGAAAACTACAATTAGAACTTCATTAATACAACAATATTATAAGGCCTAGGAAAAATGTTGTTTTTCCTGTTTCAGTCCTGAAAAAATTAGGGTTGGTAGGTAGGGATTGACATCTATATAGTGATCTACAATATGTGACTAATACAATACAATACAATACAATACAGTTTAACAATTTGAAAGTAAAACTTGCATACTAGGACACTAAAGTCTTGCACTGTAATGTAAGGTATCACATCACTTCCTGAATTCTTCCAAATACTGACCACTTACTCCCCTGGCATGTGCAGGGTTACCTTCATATTTAACCTCCTTGCTTCCTCTCACCATACATACATACAAAGTATCCAGGCTTTGATTATTCTGTTGCTGGCTTCCCTGTCTCAGGGGTGGGCAGCAGTCTGCTCCAGTGGACTCTATGTCTACACGTGACCCTGTCCAGTGGGTCAATGTTGGACAGTCCACACATTCTAATGTCATTTCAGATGCACTCTTTCAATGTCTTCTTTGATCTATCATGACCTATGTTGCCTGGCAACAGCAATTCTGCGCTTAACGTGCCCAAACATGCGACCAAAACTATTAGTTTAACGACAAGAGACAGAAAATCAGGAGGCAAAAAAATTCTTCTATGCCTGAAAGTTAAGTGCATTTACAGTAGGTAATAATTTAATGGATACTCACAGGCCCTAAGAATGCACCTATCATACAAATCATGAGGGTAAGATATGTCATCAGCATCCTGGTCCTGGTGAACCTCCAGATGGTTCTGGGCAGCGACGCTTTCTCCATCCCCACCCTCTCAACCTCCTCCTGCCACAGCCGCTCAAATCTGGGGGAAAAGCAAAAAGACAGAATCAAATTTAAAACCCATCTGGCATAAAAGTTCTCACATTCAAATGCATTTCAGGGCTATGCAATTCTATCTCAACAGATCTGCTTTCCATGTACATATAACCTACATATAACCTTTATATAGTAATTTTTCCATGTACATATAACCTACATATAACCTATAGTAAAGTTTAAAACTCATACAGAATAATCTGCTTGAATAAATCACCCACCTATCTTACATTAATCAGTCTAGATTTCCATGAATTTGTTGTATGAGTACATGTATCAAAATGCTACTGTAAATGTAACTTCAGAATCTTTGAATAGTTTATCAGGTATCAAAGTTTTCTTACTGAGCAACAATCAAACAACTACTATATACACACCTACATTTCTGTGACTGTCTCTTATGTTCCTTCCTTATGTATTAACTGGTTCTACATTTTGTTCTTCACAGCAGTTTGGCTGTGATTGAATAAAGACCTACAGTCAAACCTGTCCAAGCCGGCCACCCAGGGGATCAAAGGCAAGTGGTCACCTTGGATACTCCTTGAAGAGGGTTGCCTCATAACATGACTGAGACATAAATGGTTTCCAAATCAAGATTCAAGATGTTTTAATGTCAAATGCTACATGAGCATCTTTAGTTCTGTGGTGAATGCATGTGGGGAGGGTGGCACATGGAACATCATATGTATACAGCGGTCAAGGCAAACTGCTTTTTGGCGTATCGTATTACCTGGATGTCTAACCTTCACTGACGTACCTTTTGTAGTTAGGCTCGGCCGTGTCGAGTGGTGAATGTTGCCAGATGTTGTCCAGTGTCAGTTTGCCCTTGTTCGCCATTTTGATGAGTGGAGTCAGCCATGAGAAGGTCATGAAGGACAGCAGACCTGCATCATCTAGTGGGTTCACTGACGGCTCTCTGCTCGAGAGATATACAAAAAAAGAAATTAAACATTCTGCATCTGTATCTGAATAGCTGGTATAACTACCCTTTGGCACAACACACCAGCTTCGCAGGCATGTGGCGTAGTGGCAGCTAGCTACATTACACCAAACGACATTGTCATTTGACTGAAAAAAATGAACACTGTAACTTCTATCTCCTGAGTGCATTCCACAAAAGATAACATAATATCATAATAAATTATCCCACAATTGTAACATAATATCATATTATCTCACAATGGTAACAAAATACCATATGATTGGATTTTTGCTAAGTCATCTATAAGCAATGATGAGCAAGATTTGATTTCACTCAATACCAACATCAGGTGGCCAAAATGTAGTACTTAATATACATAAGTTATAAGTTCAAGATCAAGAAATTGACTTTAAAAACTGGTATACAAAAATCAAAATTTTGAACAGTGTTTGCAAATTCAATTCAAAAAGACTGCCATAATTTAATTATAAACAGCTCAAGATTTGTGCTCAATTACTGGTACTGTATTTTCGAAACTAGGCCCAGTTATACTAACTATGAGTCTTATAGTCACATATATATTTATAGCTTGTTCTTTAATTTCTGTATCTGTATAGCCGGTATAACCGCCTTCGGCATAACACACCAGCTTAATTTCTGAAAGAATGCAGAAAATCTTTGTTAGAAATTTAACTAATAATAGTAATATGCATATCATCTAAGAAGAAAACAATAATAAAACAACACCTTCTTAAAACATTAATGAAGGAGCATATTACTAGTACATACTTAGGCTTGGATCTGACGGGTATGAATGTCTTGGCACTTTCCTTGTACTTCCATTTCTTCTTGCTGTAGTCTGTGCACGTCTCGTCCAATGGCATGTCTTCTTCCAGCCTGCCTTCCCGCCCGGTTTTGTCATAATACCTCAACTCCAAACATTCGAAGCCGAGGGCCTCATGGTAGGAGAAGGTTCTCATGCCTCGATAGTTCCTCTCTTCTGGTGGCCGCTTGTTTTTTATTAACTGACGATATTTCACGTCTGGGTCCTTTTTGCCAGCAATGGCTATCTATGAGCAAAGGTGCTTTTTATCTAGTCTGAAAAATAAAAATGCATGGAATGATAAGGTGTCCACTAGCATCTACTTGGAAAGTGCAATAAAAAAGGTCTTACATTCCAAGAAAAGTTAACTAATAGGTCTGTTTTGGAGTTGTTGCTTTATTTTAGGCATTGCATCTTTAATGTTAAAAAAGAAATGTCCTTAGGCCACACCAATTTAATTTCTTGGTTAACGGATTCGCCCGCTTCGTTTTTTTTCTGATTTGAAAATAAAAATAAAAATTCAGAATCAACTGCAAAATGCTTATATTTTGCCCTGAACAGTTGAAAACAGTCCTTTTCTTCCTAGTTGTTACAGTTATTCCATCTTCCAATGGAGTGGTATCATTAAAAGTTCAAAATTCATTGTTTAAATTTTGAACCAGTCTGGTATGTTGACTTCATGGCTCCTATCGTACCATTTTGGGCCATAATAGGATGCCTAGGCCTGTTTTTATTTTTTTTTATTTTTTTCGCCCGCCCGCTCCATTATTTTTCTAGAAAAATCCGAAAGAAATTGAATTGGTGTGGCCTTATTTACATGTATACAGGCCTAACCTCTGCTTGGATTGTGCCTCTGTCCTGTCCAGGGCATAATTAATCAAACATGCAAACTTGAATAAAAATGTTTTAATTTAATCATTAATTTTGTGAGAGCATACAATCAAGGCAGGAAACTAAAAATTGTACATACAAAAGCCTGTTAAAGTTCAACAACTATCAATTCCTTTCTTGGCACACTCACTAATTTCAATGCAATTGTGTATGTGTCAATGAATGAATGAATGAATGAATGACAAGCAATTTAGTGCTAGGTCAATGTACACGTACATGTGAAAATGTATTTAATTACTGTATCTTAGGTCATGTAAATAAAGTTGTAACAGCTGGTGCCAGGTTAGGGTAAGGTTCATGTTAGTCCCAACCATGACATGGCACAAAGTTTCAACAACGACAATGACAGAGCACAAACTTTAGTAGGGTTCAAAGTTTCCCACGTTCACCATTAGGCATTAGCCTATATTACAGAAGTCACTATTGTCTTCTAAATATGCCAAATACTACTAATAAAGAACTATTATCTAAAAAGTACTTTGACCTTCATTAATATAGGTACAATTGTCCATTTTTTTTTCTTGAGCAGAGAAACACTTTAGTAACAGTCCATTTTAATTTTAAGAGGAGGGAATTGACCTTTGGACTAAAAAGAAGATAGAAGGCCGCTAACTACTCCATTACACACACACAATCATTGTGCCTTTATAGAGTATATGTGGCACCAAAAGTTACCAAACTCGTGCAAGATAGTTTTTCTTTCGCCTATATTTCAGTCCTAATGTCTGTACAAAATTAGTCACCGATAGTTAATACTAAGTTTAATCCTTTACAAGAGACGTCTAGCGCGATATTAGACGTTAAACAGGGACAACAACAAATAAACATATTGTTACTAGTAACGTTATATAACGTTATCTAACATCTTATCACAAAACGTGGTGACAGCACACTCAAGTTTTTTCAAAGATGCCGCCACCATCACAGGGGAGCGAAGTGAGGAAAGTCGTGCCTTTCCCATGTGCACTGTGAAGATCGGTGGCATGTCAGGACTCGAACCCGGGACCTCTTGATCATGATTCCGAGTCGAGCACTCTCACTGCCACACTACCCCACAACAACATATTAGTCCCGTATAACTGTCCGGCTAGCAGACAGAATTTCAACTCAAAACTTTAGTAGTCCCAGTGTAGATCATATTATACAACTACCGGGTCGAAGTAACGGTACCAACCGGTGATTTCGCGGCCTGGCCCGGGCAGTCCTGCTTGGTCGTTCCGCTCACTCGTCGTCCAAGCTGACGCTTCGATCATACAACAGGGTCTTCTTCGACAGGTACTACAGTAACAGACACTTACTCATCCCGTGGCAGGTTCGCAGATACAGGTAGGGCCGGGGTTTTCTGAGAAGGGAAATCCACGTCCGCTTCCGGTGCCCGAGTGAGAACTCATGACTGAGGGATTCCCTTCGACCTTTGACCTTAGTGACTTTCGCTGGGGTGAACGAACTCTAGGCTCCGCCCACTATGAATCCTAATATGATCTACAGGCAGGAAATGTGTATTTCTGGAATTCCAGTGCTGAGAAAGTCGTTGATGTTAAACTTAAGTTCCAACTGTGGCAAGTATGAAATTCACAGCAGTTTACAACAGTGAAATTATAAAACCTTTGCCATTAATTCTGTCACATATGGAGGGCTGTGTGGAGGACTGAACCTATTGACCTCGTGGCAATTTCCAAAGGTCTTGTGGCATTTCCTATTTACCAATGCTGTGTCTAATTTTGCTCCTCAAAAGGCAGGAAAATGCGTCAGTGAGGGTTTAGAAAATACAAAATTTCCCTTTCCCTGGGGAGAAAGCTACCCGGACCCCCTACATTGTTCGGGCCTTTGGCGCTCGACCCGCGCCTTCTGCGCTCGGTCCCCTTCGACTCTAGCCAGACTCTGCAAACTCATCTAAAGTCACGTTCTTCAAACCTTTTCTTTTTTTGTCTCAATGTCAAAGGGCAGTCAACTGTAGTGCCTCAGCACAAAAGGTACTTTCGCACAAAGGCTGATGGGAAATGTTGTCAGTTGGCAGGTGTGACGTTAAAAGTAAGTGTGGCATTGGAATAAGAAGTGTCAAAGGCTAGACGGAACGAAGTGAGAGACGCCTTGTTTTGGAACGAAATAACGCTTATACGACTGAATCGGCCGGTCTACTACGGTAAGAGAAATACTAGTAAGATTCAAATATTATTGCAGTCTATACAACACAAACTGTACGCGTACGTGTGTTCATGCATATGTTTCAGTGAACTTTGATGAAGGTTAGACATCCAGGAAGACCATTCGAACGGTACTGCTGGATAAAGTTTGAAAATGAAAGTGATCGCAATTCCGCTTTAAGATCTTTTAACTCACTGAAAAGCTACTCTTCCACTGGTCTTGACAGGGACTACAGACGCCATGTACAAAATTTACAGGCTCACTGCACAGGGAACGTTTCCCTAGCTAGCTGGCAAAATGGCCAAATGAACTCCGGACAACAACTTAAAGGTATTTCTGAGTGGCAAAACTGGATGTTCAAAGTCAGTTTTCTGGTAATTCTTCTCATCTAGTAAGTTGAATCCTATCCCAAAGCACATTGATATCTCTGGGGTAAAATGCGATGTGCTTGTTTTGCACCGTGTGTTTTGTACCGTAGGCTGTCGATGCCGATTACAGCTACATTATATTCATGGGCGTTACACGTAAATAAGAGGCGCCTCACGTAGCTTGCTTTGGGGCTGTTTTGAATGTTTAGAATTTAAAATGAAGACGATAATGTGTTCAGAAATGACAGTAAATGTCAATGTCAGACAGGTGTCCTCATCCTGAATTTTTTGTTTTGATTTGCCGCCCTGAAATAGAATTTGATGCCTTTAATGTGACGTTTTAGGTAACGTCGGCGACAATAGTAATATCATAGAGTGCATCACTATTAATAATTTATCATTTCGAATTAGATATGATTCGTTTCAGAAATATAATGACGAGTCACAAGCTCAAAAAGCTGTCTCTCCTGTTGCTGTTTGCGACGGCTGGGAACACAGGGAACACTAGTTTGAAGTACCTTTTATGCGTGCTTTACTACAAAAAAGTATACTTAATTTTGTCAGTGATCACTTTTTCTCACAAATTCAGATACCAAATCTAGTGAAAAATGCCTGTCAATTTACCGTTAAGCGTTGCCGACCGTCCTGAATTTACCGTTAAGCGTTGCTGGCCTGCTGAATTTACCGTTAACCGTTGCCAGGACCTCCCCATGCAGACCCTCATTAAGACGTAATAAATCTGGTAGATCAATTGTATTCCTGCAACTTTATTTCAAATGCAAGTTAGGCCAAACCGACTTAATTTTATGGATGACATCCGCGTGCGCATTGATTTTCGCCTGTCCTAAAAAAAGATCACATCCTCCGAGGCTCTAGGCCTGGGTAGTCCATGGTAGTCAGTGACAATACTAAGCTGGTGGTAACTCTGGAGGATGACACCCAAGCTGCTGAAGCTACACGACTCAAGAACTCAGTACATACGTACAGTGCCGATTTACAAATTCCGCAAAAAGCCAGCATGTGCTGGCCTGTCGTATACCTCGCTAAGTACTGTCGCAAATTCACAATACCAGCTTTGTATTCCTGTGGTTTAGTATTACCTTCGCCAAGAAAGTTATGTTTTCCATAGCATTTGTGTGTATGTATGCATGTGTGTGTGTTTATGTTTGTGGGTGTGTATGTGGTTTAGCACTATAATTTAAGACGGTTTTGATGGATTGTCATGGAATTTGGTAGGTGGGTAGGCCTAAAATGATTAAATTTTGCCCTCCCCCCCGGTGGCTTTCCTAGGTACTGCAGCATAACTTCCGGTTTTGATATCTCATGATCACGGTTTTAATATCTCATGATCGAATGGTAGATAGCTCTTGGGCTAGGGAACAAGTAACATTAGTTTGGGCTCCTACCCTAGTGATTCATACTTGCTGCATTTGGAATTTAGGTGAAGATGAACATTAATGAACACAATTTATTCAGATCATAACCTCATTTGCATAACTTATGAGGAAGTCCTAGAATAGTCTTTATTGTTAATATAAGGCCGTCATTTGGTGGGAAATATGACCTGAAATATAATGATGGATTAGTTGTTTTCGCTGAGAGCATTGACAGGGGGTTTTCTAGTGCTGAAGCTGCCTTGGCACTGGATGTCTGGAAAGTTTGGGCCCCCCTTAGCAGCTTATTCTGAAACCGCAAGGGAGTAGTTTGTTTACAGAAAAAAAGAACCGATTGACGGATCTTTTGCCTCGCAATGTTTCTATTGTAACCACCAGTGGGTAATGTATCATAAAAACAATTTATAACAGTTCTTAACTCTATATGAGTAACTAGCCATATGCCATATGAGGTCACACACACCGTGAACGAGGACACTAGCAGTCTTCTTAGATGACGAACGAAGGACTACCAAGGATCACTCCAAAGTACAGATTAATTTGTAATGCATACTGACGCATTATATATCATTATTTATCATTTTGTCTCGTCGACAGTACGCGAATGCGCTAACAAAGTCTACCTGTTTTGAACCTTGAACCTTGGGCGGGGACATCATAGGATGTCAGCACGGGAGACAATGGGTTCTTCTTTTCCACTACTAGTCCCTGTTTTACTGTAACATTCTGCGTAGTGCCTACAGTGGGTCGTAGACACCACAAAGGCAGTGTTCCGAGACTATAGATAATCTACTAGGAGACGGTGGCTGTCAAGTTAACGTAATAATATAACTAAAGGTGGGGTCGTGTGGCGTAACGGCATAGTGCTCGACTCGGAACCAAGAGGTCCTGGGTTCGATTCCTGACATGCCACCGATCTTGTGCCCTTAGGAAAGCCACCTTACACGACTTTCCTCACTTCACTCAAGTAAAAAATGAGTATCGTCTTCTCCAGTATTTGTCCTCTGCGTTGGTGGCGGCACAGAGGTGGCGGCATAAAATAAGTTGAATATAACTTAAGTGTGCAGTCACCATGTCTCGTTATGAAATGTTGGAATGTAGAAAAAAATTATACGTATGTACCATTTCAAATTAGAGTTTTTCGTGATTCACAGTCACAATACTGGCAATACAAATGTACTTCCGTTTTCCAGTTCACCAATAGTTTCTCAGAAGTTTCGTTTGGTAGTTACGTTCAAACATGTGTACAAGCATATACCATGTTGTTATATCATTTTTTTTTAATTCCAGCGAAAACTACGACAGTCACATACTTGGATGCACTACGTCTACGACGTATATTTCAAGGTACATGTATTACATGGTTTTATATTACAGTCTAAATTCAAGACGTTTTAAATTAGCTAGTTCACTTTGAAAGCCCGGAGTATTTTAGGGACCTACGAAGAATACTCTGTACTTCTACCTGAGGTACGTTGAAGCTCTACGAAACGACGTATTCTACGGTTGTGGGTTATGGTATGAGTCACTACAAATAATGGAGTGGAATATTCCACTCCATTACGTTACAAAGCGTTAATGGTCTGGACTTTCCCTTTCTTGCTGTCATCTGTGTGCAAACGATGCGACCCGTCATGGCAACAGCCTGTGTGTAAATTGCAAGGCTGCACGGGATGGTTATGGCAAGTGATGGATTGGTTGGTGTGGTGTTGTTGTAGTGGAAAATAACGCAGTCAATATACGACACTGTAGTGTCTATGAGTAGTGCAATGTTAAACTAAAAATTTGCGCTTTGATTAAGTAGTGGAAGTATGTTGGCATTGATAAAGAAAAACAATGTTGATGTTTTTTTCTCTGTAGAAAGCTGAACACTAATACATGTTTTTTTTTTCCTCTATCCAGTCCGTCCGGGTTTTTGTTGGGTCAGTAAGCATATGCGGAATGTGAGGACGGTTTTCCCCATGACCTGAGGTTCGTGACATCGCTCCTGGATTGTGATGTACAGGACTGCGGTATAGTGACTGGGCTCCTTTCAGCCTTTTTCTCTCTTAATGTCTCTGATACTTTTTATATAGCCTCTTCTTTTAACAGATTGTTCCAATGTACATGTACTACGGTTATTAAAATGGGTATGGTGCTGTTGCTAACTGAACTGGAAAACCGTCTGTCGTCCTCAGAATTCTTCGGCTGTCGTCAACAGAATTCTTGTTAATTTTAGATGCTCGCGCAACGTTAACGTTCGTGTAATGAAGTGAAGTGAAGTGTAACAGCAATGCGAGACATAACAGAAGTACCACCCATACGTCCGAAACTTACACACTTCAGATGATCCAAAAGACCATCATAATTTCGAACGATACTATCTTCCTAAATTACAAGTCTCCAAAAGAACCACTAAATTCCCAAATATGAATAAATCAAGTAGAAATGCTTGGGAAGTACAGAAATAAGATATTCCCCACCCGGGGCGGGAATAATCGTAAAGTTTGGAACATCCAGTTTTTTTTTTCTGTTCTGCGATGATACTAGTCAGATTAGAAGGTTTACCTGTTAGACTAACCTGGCAAAGGCGGCGTCAAATTACAGTGAGAATGATGAATTACGCACATTTCATGCAATTATGCATGGACTTAATTATATATAATAAGAGATGTTTATTGCAAATTCATGCCCGAGGGCTAATTGCATACAGACATTAACAAGAAAAATGTAGTGATATAAGACTATTTGCTATCAACTTCTACGTGTACTTACTACTATCTCTACTTAAACCTAATAACGTTGGTATACATAATGGGTAAAAAGTAGATATACAATATGTGACCAGGTAATAGGAACAAAGTAACTGCTATTCTAATCTATTCTATTCTATTAAACTATTCTTGCCATGATATTAGGAGGTTTGACTTCTTCTCAGGAGGCAGTGGGAGATGAATTGTCCGACTCTTTGAAAAATAAATGGGTTGGGAGACTTTAGCAATAATATAATAGTCTTTTGTTGTTGGTTGAGATATGAAAAACTTGGGGAAATATTGGCGACTTCTTTGAATAATTTTTTTCTTTCAAAATCGTAATGAGGACACTGACAGATAAAATGCATTTCATCTTCCACTGCTACCTCTGTACAGTATTTACAGAATCTTTCGCATACAGGCAGTTTCTTATATCTTCCTCTCTCTATCTCTAATGTGTGAGCGCTTAGTCTCATTTTACATAGTGATGATCTTAGCTATATATATAGTCACCGGTGTCTTCTCAAATCTAGCATAAATAAATATAAAATGAAGGATACTGGGTCCATCTTGCTATAATTGGTGGACTGAACTTGTTGATTTTGCAATACAGGTATATTGATCTATAGAGGAACTTTAACAAAGCCATGGAGTTACGTCAAACAGATCAGAGACAGAGGCGGCAACGACGTACGTCCGAAAGTATCCCCAGCCTACCTGACAAGACTGAAGGTACTTTCACTATATCACTGCTCATTTTTCAGAGAAATGCCCCACTGAATAAATGCAAAGTTGTCGTCAAGACAAAATTGTCAAGTAATTTGTAAATAAAAAGAATTTTAAGCAATATTTAAAGCATACGAATCGTTCATAAGGATGTTGATGCATGATAGATATCGTCCTGCTGGGTATGGCAATACGCCATAGGGACTACCCATGTACCCAACATAAGTAAGCAAAATACGATGGCTTAGTCAATTTAACCCTATCTAGACCGGGGGGGGGGGCTAAAAGTGCCCGCGGCAACTTTGATGTCACATAGCGTCTGAACGGCTAAAGCTAGAAACGCCAAACTTGGTGACTTTTCCTAAAATATTGTTGGCAACAAATCTGTATCAGTGGAATAAGATTGTGATTTTTCTTGTTGCCATGGCAACGGGTTTCTGACAGGCATTTTTTGCCAAATATAATAATTTCCATTTAAACAACAGAATTTTATGGGTTTTATGTCAAGTTACACATTGTTTCTAATATCAATAACATCACATATAATTATATGTAAATTTCATCATTAAAAATGCATAATTTATGCTAATTTGATGACGTCATTGGCCGAAATCCAAGATGGCGGACCATATAATTAGATCAGTTAAATACAGCTTATTTTTCTTAAACTTTCATCAATACTCCCATTTCTTTTTACAAAAAAGGTTCATATGAAAGTCTTTAGTCTGTTTACAATGTATTTTAGGCTTTATCCTGAAAAAAAACTATTTTTCAAAATTCAAGATTGGTGATCCAAGATGGCGGATAGGTAATATATGCATGACGTCATTTTATGACGTCACCGCTGTTGCTATGGGCAACATAAGACTTAGTACATCCTAATATTCTGTCATAAACACTTTTGGTAAAGTTATGTCGTATACTGTTTAGTTTTTAGGGAATAAACTATCTAGACGGTTTTGGCCAATAAAATCACATTAATGACGTCATAATGACGTCATATTACGTCACAACAACATAAAAATTGTACATATGATAAATTTTTACTAGTACACCATCCTCTTAAAATTTGGTGGTCCTACGATATACCGTTCGCGAGTTCTGAGGGGGGGGCGAAAGAAGCCCCCCCCCCCGGTCCCACCTAGCCCAAAAAAGCCCGGTCTAGATAGGGTTAACGCCTGATGCAACGTCACCTAATAAAACATAGGTAATATAGAATGTTGTCTCTGTCAGGATTTTTGTCACAGGTGGAATGTCATGAAAGTTTATTTTGTTAAGAATTTTTAAAAACAACAAACCTTTGAGACAAACTTGTTTTAATTAATCTTAATACAGGTAAGCGGGCACGGTCATCTCAACAGTAAGAGAATGCCAGCAAAAGGATAAAGACGAAAGGTACGTGTTAAGCTAGGCAACACGTCATCTTGTAACACGTGTGACGACATTGAGGGATGGCAACACTGCAAATTTTTGAAACGCTAACAACTTATTAAGTGTGCTTTATCCAGAACCATGCTCAGGGCAAACCAACGTTCTTCGATACGAGGAAACTATCAAGAACCTGATACTAAACACTAACCAATTCAGGCAGAGAACTAGGTATAGGCACGGTTCTGGTTTATATATAGTCCACGAATGTGTCATGAAATTGACATTTCATGCAACGTTTTCTGTCACGTTCAAACTACCATGATGTTTGAAAGACGTGTGAAATTTTCTGATGTATTCTGTGACATCATTCTGCCTGTGCACGTTCCCACACAATACTTGGCCCTTAATAAACGTTTAAGGTAAATAAATGGATCCTGAATGACACCTTGCTCACAATACCTATCAATTCTTATTTCTTGTCACCCATTTGTTTTAGTTCTAGGAGCTGCGATTGATGTCGTAGTGAGTAAAGTAGTGCGCCATGACTGGCGGGAGCTGGGACGTAAGCTAGGGCTTGAGCAAGTCGACATTGAGGCAACATTCGAGAAGCACCGAGGAGACCCGACGGAGTGCTGCAGAGAAGTGCTGGAGCTGTGGCGCAGGAGCAATGGTGCCCAGGCAACCTTGCAGAAGCTTGGGGAGACTCTCCGAAAGGCTCACCATGTGGATGTGGCAGAATTGATTGAATGTGAGATAGCTTCATAATCTATGAACCTTAGTATCCATCATTTGATTTTCTATCGATATCATACTCCATTTGGGATAACAAACCTATTGATGGTATATGGAGGGCCATGATGGACAAAAAATTCTGGGCGACCTCTGCAGTGGCCGATCAGGAAAGTAATCCATTTAATTCACTGAATGAAAAAGATGACTTTCAGAACAACTGCTGTATAGATGAGCAAATTCTCAATTGACTTATATACACAGCAAGCACATGTATCAAGCTTTTGGCTCTGGATCATATTCGTACATTCTTCGTAATATGTGTTCATTGTTTTTACTAAATATTTATTTTCTACTTAAATGAAACTTGTAGCAGATCGAGTGATTAAGTATTAATCTTAGTTTTTACAATCCTAGGTGGAGGGAATGGCAGTGACTTGCGAACCACGGGTAAGTCTTTCAATAAGAAAACGCTGGCAATAGCTGTTTGAATTGCATATTGAGGTGTAAGTACTTGAGAACTGCAAGAAAAGAGGACGAGGTAACGAATAAAGCAAGTTGGTGGGAAAACAAATAAGTTCTCTTATTTAAGATACATCATTTTCATAAAAGGTTATTTTCACGGGTTTCGGTATTTCAGGACAGCCTGATTCTCGAGCTCCCAGAGACGTAGAAGTGGTTGAAACGACTGAGTCCTGGATAAAGATAAAGTGGAAACCCCCGGCCACATGTGTGGATGCACAGCCAATTGGTTACATGGTGGATCTTCGTCTCGCCAGAACTGACAAATGGCTTAACGCACATAATCGTCACTATCTAACTACCACAGAGTTCAAAGTCTGCGAAGGTATAACGAAGAAAGGGCAGTACTACTTCCGTGTGAGGTCTGTCTACCTTGGCGATATCTTGAGCGAACCAGCTGACTCACCTTTGGGAATCGCCAAGATACAAGGTATAAAGTCGTACGGTATACGCAGATTTAGGTATGAAGCAAGCACGTTTAACTAAGTTGTCTCACTGCATCAAAAGTAGTATTCATCAATGGCCATCGGAGTTAGTAGTGACACAATCACGAAATTGCTGACTTAGCACAGGGGTTAGATGTAAAGTACTAACTTCACAAAAGGGGGGCTTTACCAATAGCGGTTAATCTACCGCCAAGTGACATTTATCGTCATTTGTAATTATTACCCTTTTCTGAATGCTTTGAGATCTGTTTGGACTCTTTGGGTAGATGAAGTTTTCCATGGAGACCGAAACACTCGTTGACAACAGTAAGTTATAAAAAAATTCTGCTGTCATTCCCGGTCATTCTAATGGGTTGTGTATTAATACTTGACAGGCCAACCAGACGAACCGCGGAACCTACGAGTGACAGATCTTGACACTGAGAACAACACCGTGACCCTGGAATGGCTAGAACCAGAAGACGATGGCGGTTATCCCATAACCTCCTACATTGTCGAAAAATCCTCAGGCAACGAGTGGGAGAGGTGCCTCGAAACATCGGAGCTGCACTGCAAAATAGACGACATTAAACCAGGCTGTCGTCTTCGTGTGTCTGCAAAGAACAGCGAAGGCCTTCAGAGTGACCCCTTGGACATGGGTAAAGCTGGTTTTCGCAATGTTTATCTTTGGGTGACGAGAAATGCTTTTTAAATTAGTCAAAGAAACCCATGGTAAGTGTGGACCTGTGGTTTTCATTGGGAAATGTTTTGAATTCACGAGAAATACTTCTTAAACTTTCAGTCGACCCAGAGCTTCGCGTGAGACTGGATGTAGAAGAAGCTGACGAATCAATTAAGAAGGCTGCCGAACGTGCTATCTGGAAATCAGTATACCTGCCTCAGGGGCTATCAGGGAAGACAATAGAAGAAGGAAGCATTGTCTTCGTGTACAGCTGCAGTGACCTGCTTGGCTTGTGGGAGTTTTGGATTATGTACTGGCAAGGGCAGGTGGAACAATATTTCCAGAAACTGCTCATAACAAAGGATGTCCTTCGTGCCTGTGCTGCGACTAACGTCAAAGTAGGAGTCACCATTGATCCAGAAGACTTCCACGCCAGCTGCAATCACCTCCTGCTGACTCGTCCAATAGAGCATGGCTACAGGGTTTTGGCTGATCCCAAAACCACAGGTATTATTTTTTTTTGCATACAGTTTATGTGACTGTATATGCCATTTAGCTACTATTATGTCAAAGCCATGTTCATATTTACCTTTACCTCTGTATCTGTATCTGTATCGGTATAGCCGGTATAACCGCCCTTCGGCGTAACACACCAGCTTTACCAATCATTGCCACTCAATGCATTTGTGCAGATCGACTGATTGGGAGCGTTGTTCTATCCAGCGGACTGACGGACCGCCTGTCCTCCATCACAGGAATAACTACAATGCAGGGGATCGGACACGAGCTTGCTGATACCTACAAGGCAAGTACGTCTACGCGAGGTTATGTGCAAACACATCACCTTTTCCGTAGAACAAAGAAAAATCGTTCTCTTCTGACCACAGCAAAGCTGACGGTAGAACACAAGCACGGATACCTTCAGCGGCGGAAATTCATTCCTGGCACGGAGGTACCGGGGGTGCCCTAATTCCGGCCTACCTCTAATTCCGGACTATTTTGAAAAATAGTCATTGTTGCGGCGTTATATGATTATGCATGGGTGCATGTTCCTATAAATACCCACAGAAATGGACAAATTTTTGTGTTGATTACGATAAGCTCACGATGTTTGCTCCAGTTCGTACGCTCGGACAACAGATGAGTGAAAAATCTATTTGAATTTGACGCTTCTTTGTTGTGGTTTTTGGTGTTTGCTTGTGTGTCCATAGACATCTTGATTGGTGGCAGGTAGGGAGACGGAAGTTTTGTATCCACAGATTGTCAGGGAGGTTCACACAAACAGATACTGCAAGTCATGTTGCTTATTACTTGACCTAATTATTGTTAAAACTACCGATTATTGCTGAACAAATTGATCATTGTTGACCCTACTGGTTATTGCTTAACCATTGGTTATTGTTGAACCTGTAGATTATTGCTAAGTATTTAACAACATTGCAGAACCTAATGTTTTCATTATTAGTTTAACAATAAGTAATGGGTATAGCAGTAATCATTAGGTTTAACAAGAAGTAATGGGTATAGCAGTAATCATTAGGTTTAACAATAAGTAATGGGAATAGCAGTAATCATTAGGTTTAACAATAAGTAATGGATTATCAGTAATCATTAGGTTTAACAATAAGTACTGGATTATCAGTAATCATTAGGTTTAACAATAAGTAATGGGAATAGCAGTAATCATTAGGTTTAACAATAAGTAATGGATTATCAGTAATCATTAGGTTTAACAATAAGTAATGGATTATCAGTAATCATTAGGTTTAACAAGAAGTAATGGGTATAGCAGTATCCATTAGGTTTAACAATAAGTAATGGGAATAGCAGTTATTAGGTTTAACAATAATCAATGGGAATAGCAGTAATCATTAGGTTTAACAATAAGTAATGGGTATAGCAGTTATTATGTTTAACAATAATTATCATATAGCCGGGTGACGTTGACCAATCAGAAGGCTCCATTCCGCATTCTTTATGTCGCCTTAATGTCACAAATAGAGTCAAAATCGGGTATTTATTCATACCAATCCATACATTAAACAAACCCAATAATCACCCGCATATGACCTCAGGTGACCCAATAGAACACGGCTCTACTTCTAAAAGCTCCAAAAATAACTTGAGTTGTCTTCCGATGACCTCGGGTGACTCCCATAAGAACATCTGTTCCCTGCCTGTGACCCAGATAGAAGGCCATAGAACGTGAACCCCCCAGTGACCTCAGGTGACTCCATATGGAACAAATATTCTATTCTATTCAGCATGTGCAAGGGGTAAATTGTACATTGTGTCACTCTTCACTGCATCAGTTTGGATAGGCTATCGCGTAAGCTATATGATAATAGCGTTAATGGCCCGCCCTTTCTCGGTGAATATGGTGTGATAAAGCCTTGTCAGTTGCTATAACCACCTCATAAAGCCACCTCGTTCGCTGCGCTCACTTGGTGGCTTTATTCGGTGGTTATAGCAACTGACAAGGCTTATCACACCATATTCACCTCGGGGCGGGACATTAACCCTTAAGTAATGAGTATAGCAGTAATCATTAGGATTAACAATAAGTAATGGATTATCAGTAATCATTAGGTTTAACAATAAGTAATGGGTTAGCAGTAATCATTAGGTTTAACAATAAGTAATGGGTATAGCAGTTATTAGGTTTAACAATAAGTAATGGGTATACATGTAGCTGTATATATAGGTTTAACAATAAGTAATGGGTTAGCAGAAATCATTAGGTTTAACAATAAGTAATGGGTATAGCAGTTATTAGGTTTAACAATAAGTAATGGGTTTACATGTAGCTGTATATATATAGGTTTAACAATAAGTAATGGGTTAGCAGTAATCATTAGGTTTAACAATAAGTAATGGGTATAGCAGTTATTAGGTTTAACAATAATTATCATATAGCCGGGTGACGTTGACCAATCAGAAGGCTCCATTCCACATTCCTTATGACGCCGTAATGTCACAAATAGAGTCAAAACCGGGTATTTATTCATCCCAATCCATACATTAAACAACCCAAATAATCACCCGCATATGACCTCAGGTGACCCAATAGAACATGGCTCTAGTTCTAAAAAATCCAAAAATAACTTGAATTGTATTCCAATGACCTCGGGTGACTCCCATAAGAACACCTGTTCCCTGCCTGTGACCCAGATAGAAGACATAGAACGTGAACTCTACCCAGTGACCTCAGGTGACTCCAGATGGAACTATGTTCTATTCAGCATGTGCAACGGGTAAATTGTACATTGTGTCACTTACTCCATCAGTTTGGATAGGCTATCGTGTAAGCTATATGATAATAGCGTTAATGGACCCGCCCTTT